AAACAAAGCTTAGCGTGAAATTCTTCCAGAGGACTACCGGCGTTCAATAGGATTTTTACGCTATATTTAGGATGACGTCACATTTTGTAAATTTCTGCTGCGAACCTTACAAAACAAAAAGTACTTTTTGACGCATTTAAGTAGGGGAATTTCAGATGTTTTTGGTTGGCAACGGCGCGCAACTTTGTGACTCTTATGAACATTTTCATTTCGTTATTTTTAGCTGTCGTCAGAATTATTGACATCTGGTAAATTATAAGAAAAAAAATAGGCATTGACAACATTGTCTGTCCTTGTTCGATGACGTCATCCTAAATATAACATAAAAAACCTTGATGAGTGTGGAGTTATTCTCGTTGGCTTTTCAATCATCACTTGTAGGTTAAAAGACATTAACAAATTCGACAAAGATTGTCTCACAGTATCTGATGCCTTAAAAAAATCAATATTAAAATCTCCACATAAAACAATGTATGACTTAATATCTAACTGTGATAAAACCAATTCAAGTTTGTAAAGAAAATCATACATATCACCTGTCGGGGAGCGATATAAACATAAACATATATGTAAATATTCAATCTTCTACAAAACAAACGCCTCATCAGGCTTCAACCAGTGTTCATACAATAATATGAACTCAGGATTCCCCAAACTATTCAAAAAAAGAGATAACTCATCTACTTTATTTCTCACTGACTGAATATTTGAGGCTACTAAAGTGAAGCAATTTGAATTCGGGCTTTCCCTAAAAAAGAATCCCCATTCTTTATGCCATCAGCCCCGGTGTCATACAGCAAATCCAGAACCGTAGTATCTAACCCAGTGAAGCAGTTCCTGAAGAAGTATTGGACAATGGTTGAGCTCCAAAATGAAGTTTTGAATTGGTTTTTATAAATATAAGATTCTTACTAACTTTACTCTTACATTTAATAATATTAGTGATAGTGTCAGTAATGTAAGTAAAATTCAATTTAGTCTTCTTTTTAAAATTGCAATTGACACAATGAGCATTTATTTCATTAAATTAATTCAACTTACCTACAAGCGGTTCCAGAGAATTATTAAACTTATGAATTCTTAAATTAGTATGATGGGAATGAACCAAAGAAACTGACAAAAAAATTAGATTTGCACAGCTACACGTTCTGGCCATATCCAAAATGGTTTTCATGCGTGAGTATTTATTATTCTCAAAATCATTTGATCCTGCCATAACAATAATATAGTCATTTTGGGTAAAATCACGACACAGACCTTCAACATCGTACACCACATTGCTGAAACAGGCTTCAAGCAGGATATGTTCCACCCTATATTGATATTTATCTCCATATTTTGAAAGGTTTTTTCTCAGCGCATTGCCAAGAGGTCTTCCACCTTCATCTGATAGCAATAGTATATTTATATTGGATTGTTCACTGTCATCCTCACTGGACCCGTGTGAGCGAACCATAACGGGATCAAACTTAGGGACGATACTAGACTGGGTAAAATCTAAATTTCCAGCCTTACGCTGACATGCTCTGTCACACAAAACCTTGTTAGTTGTTAACTGCAACATTCGCACTTATCCTTTCCTGAAGATTAAAATAATCCAGTTTACTTTTTATTAGGTCATTCACATAAATCTCATTTTCCCTCTCCAGTGACTCAATACTCGTCAGAAGATTAGACTTCAAAGCAAAAGGCAGTTCAGCTGCTTCTCCATTTTCTTAGCTACCTCCTGCAAATCAGAATTCCTTTCAATTAATTGAACAATTTTTTATTCATCTCCAATATATCTTTGTCTTGTTTTTTAATTTTGTCTAGAAACTCTTTTTCAGCAGTAGAAACTCTGTCCTCAAAGTCTTGGGTTCGTCTGTTAAGTCTTGCTATATGGCCCGATTTATTTTTACCCTCCAAAGCAAGCCGTTCCAACTGAGTCTGTGATGCTCTATAGATTTCATCGCACTTGGACTGCAACATTTCCATCACAGTATCCTTTTCTTGACATTGAGCCCTTGCCTTATCAAGAGAATCCGATAATACCTTTATGTTCTGCAGGTCAGTCAAACAGCCCTTACAATCAAAGAAAATTGATCTTTGTGAAAGAGCCACTGCATGTGCTTCGATGGTGGAGATACCAGCAGTCAGAAGTCACACGAGCCACCAAAAATCTCGTTCTCCCGGGGTCTAGCCTTATGCACGCATTGCACGAAGCATAAACAGCATTCGAGAGTCGTCATCTCCGCAGGAGACAAATAAAGCAGAGTAGCTGGTCCTTAAAGGGGTGAATCACTAAGATTGAACAAAAAGTTCTTGTGCGCCCGGACTATAGTGGGTTTTAAATTAAATCATTTTGTTTATATTAACTGCGTGCTGAAGCTTGCTAGCAAAAAATGCTAGGAGAATAAAATCTATTATTTTTATTTCAATAAGAACGGATATCAACAGTTTTCAAATTTACCGGAAAATGATTTGATTTGCACTAATGAAAGTTTCACAAAGGAAAAGTCCTAACTCTCACTCACACAACGATACTTATCTCATCAAAAAATGACAACTTCAAACATATTAATTTTACGATTTTAGCGGAGCCCTTAATATGCATCCGTTAATCTCAATATTATATCAACATAAAACTGGTAGCAGTCCATTCCTTCAATCTACCAATAGAATTACCAGCATCCAAGTCAGACATTAGAATTGCACCCGGGAGACCTTACATACAAGAAGTATTTAGTACTCCAGTTAAATCAAGAATTCAAAAACCCGGCGAGAGTTTACAAAAATTCGAATCGGAAGGTAAAAGGCTAGTGAGTTTGGCGTTTCCTGCAGCTGGGGAAGACATACAGAAATGGATGGCAGTATCTTAATGCCGTCACCAAGAAGGACATCTTCCCTGGTCCGAGAATAGACATTACATTACATTAACAACACTATCGGGCTCTAAATCTAAATGGTTTTTCAGCTTGGATCTTAGGAGTGGATACTGGCAAGTGGCAATACACAAAGATGACAAAGCGAAAACTGTATTTAGTACCGGAAGCGGGTTATACCAGTTTAATGTAATGCCTTTCGGATTGTGTAATGCTCCCGCTACATGGAGAACTTACCTGGTATATTTAGATGATGATGAGTGGGAAAATTGTTCCAAGAACATCTCAATAACCTGCAAGAAGTTTTTGACCGCTTCCGGAATATTAAAACTCGGTCCAAATAAGTGGTAGGTCACGTGGTATCTGAAAATGACATACAAGTTATGGAAGGAAAGATAGATGCGGTCAGGGATTGGCCTAAACCACGCGACAATGAACCCAGGAGTTTTCTAGGATTATGTTCTTATTATCGAAGATTTGTAGAAGGATTAGCTAATATAGCTGCTCCGCTTCATCGATTAACGGAAGAAAAATCAACATTCAATTGGACCCAAGAATACGATTCCTCATTTAGAAAATTAAAACGAGCATTATGTACATTTGGACACAGATGCAAGCAACACAAGTATGTCGTAGAGTACTACAGCAGAATCTTATCAAAGCCGGAACGAAATTATTGTGTCACCAGAAGAGAGTTACTTGCCATAGTAAAAGTAGTCGACCATTTCCATAAGTATCTCCTCGGACGTATGTTTCTAATTCGAACAGATCATGCAGCTCTAAAATGGCTTTTAGAAATGAAAACTCCCGAAGGACAGCTTGCTAGATGCATTGAGAAATTGCAGCCATACGATTTCCAAATTAAACATCGACCTGGAATTTGGAAACCTGCATAAAAATGCTGACGCTCTGTCTAGACGGCCATGCAAAGAAGACTGCATGAGAAAAACACTGGTCCGGCTGTGAGAAGAACAAACAGGTCAGGGCCGGTATTCTCGTTCTCGTAAACGCTCACCGCTTTTCAGTCGCTTGGCACTTTCAATGTAAATTTACATTTAAAGTGCCGAGCGACTAGAAAGCGGTGAGCGTTTTTGAGAACCAGAATACCGGCCCTCTGATCGTTGATGATAACTGGACTACCAAACAATGAGAGCAGGTCAAGAACCAGACCAGGATATCGGGACATTTCTACATCTTAAAGAAAATGATTAATGTAGGCCAGAATGGAGGGAAGTATCGAACAAGAGTTTGATTTACAAGGCGTTGTGGGCTTAGTTGAACTCTCCGGCCGTAGAAAATGGTTTACTGAAAAGAATTTGGGAAAGTGCCGATGGAAAATCTACTAAGAGCCAACTAGTTATTCTAAAAGATCGAGTAGAAGATGTATTAAAAGAAATACATGACAGAACTTCAGGGGCACATTTTGGAGTTAACAAGACTCTGAACAAAATTCGGAAACGTTTTTACTGGGTTCACTATCATGACGACGTTAAAATCTGGTGCCGAAAATGCGGCATCTGTGCTGTGCTCTTGTTTTGTTAATTGGACTTTGATTTGGGAATAAACGAACCCAAGATTTCTGTCACGCACCACAGAATCGTGACAGTATTTACACAAGTTTAGTAAGATCTACATTGAAATATAGTTGCATTGTATGGTCATTTCATCATAACATTTGAAAGAGTTCAGAACAAATTTTTACAATTCTGTGCATATCAAAATGGGGTGCGTCTGATCACAATTATGAGGGCATAAAAGAGTCTTAAACATGACTCCCCGGAGTTTCTTAGATCAAAGATTGAATCGCTCTTTGTTTATGATCTACTCCATTATAACATAGATTGTAATCGCCCTCAATTACTATAGCAAATGAAGCTTCATATTCCTGTACCTGATCAGTAAGACACAAATATCTATTTTATGTAGATTTTCACAGAACAGAATTTGGTTTGAACGCCCCTCAAAGTAGAAGTTTTTCAGTAATAAATTAGAATAATTTGGAAATTACTAGCTGATCACATTGGGTTTTTGTTAAAATAATATATTTTGTAGGATTGTTACCTTTAATGGGGTAATCCCGTCAATGAATAGATAAATAAAAATGTACAGCAAATTTCATTTACTCTTCTCTATTTCCAGATGATCTGATGATAACAAAACAAGAAAACTCTCTATTATCAGCCCTACCAACTCAAAATGGGCCAACTAGCGAGGGCTACCAGATATCACAAACAGAAATCGAAAATCTCAAAGACAAAGTGTTGCAATACAAATCCATAGACATGACAAACAAGAGCTCTATAGAGTTTTACGAAAACGAGCTGCAAAAAATGAAAATCAGAAACGAAAAGCTAAATCGAAAACTAGACGAGACTTTGGTGACATTAAATCATTGCACTGAATTGTCTAGTAGCTCGACTGAAATCGAATATTTGAAAAACGTTTTGTACAATTACATGTTGGGCAAAGAAGGTATGGTTTTGGCTAGAGTGATTGCGGCTGTATGTAAATTTGATCCTGGCCAAACCGAGGCTGTATTACAGAAGGAGCAACAGAAACAGACATTGGTAAGGAATTGTCTTATACATATTAGAAAAATTATTAATTTGTTTTTTTTTTCAGTTGGGTCAACTAGGAATTCTCTAGCATTTGGACAATAATGGGACTTTAGAATATTTGAATTAGTGAATGCGGGGTATACATTTTTTAGCCTATTCAACACAATCGCCTTCAAATATTAACACGATAATAACTTTTAGAAAATTTAGATTTATGTGACAAGCCTGTTTAATTTTGAAGAAGTGAAATTATTACGTAATAGATTTTTATTTCAAAATTTTTGTAGATTTTTTATGCAATATAGTTTATAGGACTAATATTATCGTATGCAGAAGAATATTTTACTAATCGCAAAAACTAATGTTAAAAATTGTATCAGTGTCATCTCGGTAATGTTTTCAGGCCTAATTTAAATTCCTCTGTTAAGGCGGGTTGACACGGGTAGTGAAGCATGCTCGTGGGTCAAGCTTGAAATGATTCGTGAAATACGCTTGCTCGCAATCGTTTCGTTAAGGCATTCTGTGGTGTTTACACTGTAATATGTTCAGTCGTGCAAATGGTCGTGCAGCTTTTGCTGAAGAAAAGTGCCAGTCATCAATATGGCTTCATCGATAGCAGAAGGTTGTGCAGTGGTGTGCAAAATATTAAGACATTATCTCGTATCACAACATTCACAACTTACCAATCGTACTAGAGTGATTAAAAAAAAGGAGACAGCGCAGATGGTGGGTGAGAGAATGAATTCAAAACAGAGACCGGTCCGGAGCAGCGCATTTCGTTCATCAGGAGTTGCAGTACAGATACTCAGAGAAAGAAAGAATTTCAACGTTTCTGCATCGCTCATTCGTAGATTTCCGCCAGACATTTTGTTGCTTGTTCAATGGCTGACTGCTTTTTCACGACTGAATCCACTGAAAATGGTTCGTGAAATATCAAACAGGTTTAATTTGCTTGCTCACGATCGTGGCGCCTTTCATATCAGTTCGTTTCCATTTTTCGTTCACGACTCTGCTGCTGACATGAACCGTGATCCACGAAAGCGTAACCCACGAGCGTGCTTCACTACCCGTGTCAACCTGCCCTTAAGATTAAAGGAACCCGGGCTTTATTGAAATTATTCCATACAGTATTTTGTTTTGTATATATTTGTGTCACAAATATTTACTCTCTTATTGTTTTTAGGTAATTTATTATGTTTTACTCTATTTTGTTTATAAATAAAATTGTGTACATATGTATTTTTTATTTGTTAAAAATCACTTTCTTATTTCTATGTAAAACTGTTCCAAATAAAACTAAATTATTTTTAAAAACTTGTTTTATTTTCAAAGTAATTAATTACATATTATGTACCTATAGTTAGGTTTAAACAAAAACTAAACAAGCATTATTATACAGGGTGTCCCACGACGTTTTTCCCAGGTAATAACTCTTCGGAACGTGTCATCCAATATAATTGAAATTTTGAGGATCTGGGTAACTTTTTGTACCGCTTTTACCATTGTCATCCAATTTCACCACTTTCACTTCAATTTCGGGCAAGTGACGTCAACTTTCGAATCTTAAATGTAACTCATGGTATATTATGCCATTTTTAGTTAGAAAATTAAATCACAAAATCGGCAATGCCATATTTGTTAAGGCTTTGTTAAAGAAAATGATAAAAATATTCCGAAATTATCATTCGGGAACAACCTCGTGGGACACCCTGTATATAAACAAAGGGCCTAATAATAATACGTTTTTTTACTATGCTATATACATTACAAAAATTATTAAAAAGTATAAAGAAGTCAATATAGTGTAGGTATAAAAAAGAACATATTAACAGATGAGTTGTCAAAGATATCTATGTCGAGATCTATGTTAAGAATATTAGACCAGCAAAAAAAATTATTTTCGAATCTGGGGTATACATTCCTTTGCTTTGAGACAGATGTTTTTGCTATAGAATTTACTTCATACTCATAAAGAAAAGCTAAAATAGAGTATAAAACAATTGAATTTTCTGCAAAACCAATAATTGACAAAATAATATAAGAGCCAAAACTTGCTGCTTAACTATTTATCATCTCACTTTATAGGGTGAATTGTTCCGAAGTATTCTAATAATTGCAACTATGTACTTCTTGCCTTGAGCATCAATTTCTAGAAACAAAAACTACGTCCCAGTCTAGTCTTTGGTTTCTGGCAAATTCAAAAACCTGAAATGCCAACAAAAGATTTCTTCTCTAAGCAAATTTTAACCCTCAGAACTAACAGAAATATTGATCTTGGGTTTGTTCTCACAGAAATCACAAAACAATCAGAGCAAAATTAATTGGTTGAAAACAGTCAGAAAACTGGTTATTGGCAATTTGCACCAATCAAAAACGCTCCGACTGTTTTCTGATTGCTGTGATAACGGGGCTGGGACTCTGAAACGAATAAAGTTATTTTCTCTATCTGTTTGGGAGTCCCCTCTCTATTGATTTCGAAAAGAGACAAGATGACAGCAACACTTCTAGGGAGGCCGCACATCAAAGAAACATGAAACGTGAAACATAAAACATGAAACTCGTTCCATGAAAATAGAACAAGAACAAACAAATACAAGTCCGTCCACCAATGAAAGGAATTTGTTTCATGCGCGAGAAACATTTTTATTACTTGAAACGTGTTTCATGAAATAGATCGCGTTCTATTTTTCCGTTTCAGTTTCACGGTTTTTGATCATAAATACATTCATAAAAAAAATAATTACGACCAAGAATTCAATATTGTGTTCGTTTCAGTGGTAGAGCAAGATGGAGAATTGTATAAGTATAACATGGAGAAGTACTCGAATATATATATATATAATAGTATAGATATTAAATATACCATCTTTTATAGTCAACTTTTAAAGGTGCTAAATGAAATAGCACCAAGAGAACAAAAACTGATAAAATACTATTATAAAGAATGGTTTAATGAAAGGGTTAAAGAAGCAATTAGGGACCGAGATAATAGATACAGAAATTATAAAATAAGTAAAACGGAGGAAAACAAAAATATCTATAAACAGTGTAGAAATAGGGTTTTAATGGTAATAAGGGAAGAAAAGAAAATATTTTATCACAATAAAATTGATGATGTAAAGAATAATCCAAGAAAAATGTGGCAGACATTGAGTGAAGTAATTTCTGACAAAAAAGGGAATAAAATGAAAAAAATAGATATAGAAGGGGTAACTTATACTTCTTCAGAAGAAATGGCAGATGGGATAAATAAATATTTTGTTAATAGTGTGCTTCACATAGTTGATAGTATAGATAATACTTATTCAGAAATAAATTATGTATTTGATAAACCTAAAGATACCCTTAGTTCGTTCAAGATGATAGATCATGAAAAACTTCACGAGGTTTTATTTAGCTTACCAAATAAGGGTAGCCCTGACGATATAACATTAGATTTCATAAAAAACACTTTTGAAAATATTAAAAATCCTTTATTACATATTATTAATAGCTCACTGGAGGTTGGCAGGGTTCCATCATTGTTGAAGGTGGCAACTGTTATTCCTATACAAAAAGTTAGAGGGTCTATTAAAGTTGAAGACTTTAGACCAGTAAATATGTTAGGAACTATCGAAAAATTACTGGAAAAAGTGGTCTATGGTCAACTAGTTAGTTTTATTACAGCAAATAATGTATTGATAGAAAATCAGTCTGGGTTTAGAAAATTGCATAGCTGTGAAACTGCAATTCAGCACATTCTTCATGAGTGGAAAAATCTTCTGGATGAAAATTATGCAATTGGTGCTGTTTTTCTTGATTTGAAACGTGCTTTTGAAACAGTGAATAGGTCTATGTTAATAGCCAAATTGGAGAGATATGGTATAGCTGATAAAGCATTGGAGTGGCTTTGTAACTACTTGGACAAAAGATTGCAGGTAACCAAAATCAATGGACATACTTCGACCGAAATTTTAAATGACGTAGGCGTTCCGCAGGGTAGCACTTTGGGACCACTGCTATTTATCCTTTATATTAATGATATAAACAGATCAATAAAAAAATGTTCAGTCCATTTATTTGCAGATGACACACTGTTGTATTTCAAGTCTAAAGATATGAATGACCTAGTTGAGACCTTGAACATTGATTTGGAACACCTGCATGTATGGTTCAATATTAATTCTCTTAAATTGAACTTATCTAAAACAAAATTTATGTTAATAGGTGGTAGAGCAGATAAAGAATCAATTACACAAAATAATCTTCATGTTAAAATCAGTAGTCATATTATTGAGAGAGTAGAGACACATAAATATCTTGGATTTGTTGTTGACTCCTCACTTACATTTAGGGATCACATTTTGTATACAATCGAAAGAATTACCAAAGGTGTAAATTTTCTGTCTAGATTCACATCTTTTTTGTCACAATGGACCAAGCTTACTATCTATAATACTTTGATCTTACCACATTATATCTTTAGTTCCTCGATCCTGTACCTGTGTAACAAAAATGATCAGAACAGATTGCAAAAATTGCAAAATAGGGCAATGAGATTTATTTTACGTGAAAGGCGTGAAACGCCTATAAAGAATATGTTAGGAAAACTAAATTGGCTTTCTGTTGAAAAATTTCTTATTTACCAAAATATGTTGTTAATTTATAAAATGAAAAATGAGCTAACACCTTCATATTTGACTAAAAAATTAAGAAGTCATTCTTCTGTACATTCGTACCCTACTAGGAATCGTAACAATTTTTATGTTACAACAAAAAATAAAAAAGGAACTGAAAATGGTTTATACCATAAGGGTTTAATTTATTTTAATGCTTTGCCTCAACAAATAAAGGACGCCCCAAATATTAATTTATTTAAAAGAAAGTTAAAGATTCATCTTATGGGAGAATAATACAGTAATACTTGTTTCATCTTTGTTGTTTTTGTTGAATTTTGTATATCTTTGATTTCTGTGTTTTTCAAGACTTGCATGTTGTTTGTAAATCATTATATTTGTTGTTTACTATACACATTTTAAACTTAGGATTTCTATTTTTTTTTGTTTTTTATTATGTAATATGTAATGAACATGTAGGATAATGACGCAAGTGACATATTATATTTTATATTCTATTGTAGTTTTTTTAAATTGTTGCTATATATTTTTATTTTATATTTTATACTGTGTTTTGCATTATTGTAATTTGTATTTACTTGCATGATATTTTATTTTTTATTTTATTTTAGTAGGCGTATAATGTAGTATGTAATAATTAATTTGACTTGTATGTTCATTTATTTTTGTAATTAGCCAGGTGCTAAATAAAGGATTAATATATATATATATATATAGACAATCACAAGAAAAAGCCTGCCAAAATTGTATGGATGCACCCAGTAACGTCGTTTCCTTTATTTTTTTGGCTTTTAGACGATAATAGAAAAGTTGCCACAACGCAGCAGTTGTTTTTGCTCGTCAACACTTTCCATTGTGTGCTTGCTACCCTCTATACTCCACTACACTACCAAAAGACTTTGCAAACATTATTCTTGTTTCTTCAATTAGTATGCAAGAAAGAAACGATTTCGCTTTTCGTAATTTATTGTTTCATGTTTTACGTTTCATGTTTGATGTTTCACGTTTCATGTTTCTTTGATGTGCGGCCTGCCTTTTATGATTCTTTTTTATTGGTATCTCTAGAAGCTCCATAATGATTTGTCTGTTAAGATAATCCAAAAACCAATCACAAAATACTTAAGCCTAGATGATTTTTAAAATCATTTACACTTGATTTTGGCTTGTGTACCCTTACACTTTTGATGCTTACTTAAATGGAAGTCTTATGGAATAAATACTATATTATTATTTTGTTGCAATGATTAAAACCTCTTTAAAAATTCCTCGGCGACAATCCTAGCTCTGGCGTTGGCGGCTAACTTCATTTCCGAAACTTCCTTATCAATTTCTTCCATAAAGTGTATCACGAAATCCACCAATTTGTGTTTGTACATTTGCTCGGTGTGAAAGTTGGTTATCAGGAAACTAATGTCGTAGCCTTCGACAGGTTTTCTGCGTAGGACAATAAAGTTTTCTGCACGCATCATCATGAACCTCATGAATTTTTTGCAAAGGATTTTCTCGATTTCATCCGCTTGTTTCACCGCTATGCTTATGCGGACAGAATTGACTGAAGTCTCAATAAGAACCTGGAATCATTTAAATTAATATTATAGAAGTAGGTAGTATTAAACCAGTACCTTTTCCTTATCATTTCTGGAAATAATTACAGGGGTGAGTAATAGCTCCTTAGAGCTCCTAACCTCTACCTCGGGTTTGTTGTGCCTTTCGACCACTTGAGAGCTAAAGTTGTCCAGGCACATTGCCGCAGTTAGAGTGTGCCTCACTGCTGTTAAATAGGGCTTCAATGTTGCTGACATCTTATTATATTTGTTTATTTTCTACAGAATAAAAGCAGACACACCTCCTTCGTTGTTGTGAGTTGTGACAGATGATAATTCAATTGGGTTATGACAAGCGAATTGTCAATTTTAAAATTTTTGACGTTTTTGATGTGTTCGATGTCTTCAGCCCGGGGATTCTAAAATCACTATTCGACACACGACTCGATAACGAGACGATTTTTCTGACGGTTCTATAGGTTGGAATCATACCTTTCGAGACGACAGGGGCCTAATTCTGTAAAAAACGAACCGTTCGATTCGGTAGAATTTTGATATTTTTTTTCGAACTTTTCAAAATAAGTTATTCAGGCCTATGATGTATCCTCTCCTGTTATTTTAACAGTTGTGTTATAGCTCAAAATCTATACCTGTCTCTATTTTTACGTGTAGAATAAACAGTGACAGATAACATAACGTTGCTGACGTTGCTGTTAAAATAACAGAAAATGATATATCATAGGCCTGATTGTCTACGCCGCATGTAGACAACATGTGGACAAATGCTCACGTAAACAATTCGAATTGTCTACGCGTAGACAATCAATTGTTTACGTTGTCATTGTCTACAGGCACTTCACTGGTTCGTTCTTACAGAATAAGGGCCGGTCTCGTTGTCGAGTCGTGTGTCGAATCGTGATTTTAGAATCTCCCCCCAGATTCTTATAAAGCGGCCAAATTCAAGGATGGTAATTTTGCACTCCAGAACTGCACCCAATTGATCAAAAAGCGATCCGAAACGGTTTCAGATATTCGGCTTGAAACGGAGCGTTGCTCTCGGCGAAATTGACCGTATCAATTTAATTCAAAGCCTCTCTCTATGGCGTCAGACGTCAGAAGAGTATGAAAACAATGGTTGACAATACGTCTGTTTCTGGTTTCTGCAAGAATCACAAACCAGCGAGAGCGAATTTCATTAGGCAATAGTTGCATTCCCTTCACACCTACGAGAAGCTCCGAAACAGCTCCGGGGCTTTACGCGCGTATTTCTTTCGAAAGGTGTTTGGTGCACCTGAAGTGCTCAAGCACGAATCAAACCATTTAACTGCACGAAAGCCAGCGCATCTGTTCCTTTTTTCGCGAAGATAACCAAGCATTTGCTGGATTATATGATGTGTCAATGTTGTGTCGTACTCCCCCTCCACCAAATTCTGGGACACTTGAGGATTAAGAACACTTAATTTCTTTTGTGAGAACAGACCGAAAATCACCTTTTCTACATTTAAAATCGACGAAAAAATTAACTTAACCAGCACAGGCTGAATCGCAAGCATTCCATCGAGGTCTGCGGTTGACGTCATCTCTATAAGCTGCTGAAAGTGACGTCACTAGCAAGCCCAGAATTTGATGGCGAGAGAGTTAGGCGAGTATGACACAATTGCAACATCACATAACCCAGCATAATCAGATTATACTTGATTATCTTCGCGAAAAATTGCCTATAGGGTGTTAATTTGTACTGCTTTTCTTGCTTCAAGAAGATCTCAGCAGATTAACGTTCACTCACTTGCCCCATAAATAGCAGCTCCTAGCAGATCTTTCTAATACCGTTTTCTGTTGGTAAAACTCGTGCTGCACTCATGCAAAAATTATGTTCTGTTGGCAGTTTCCGAGCGGGTTTTTATGTTCTATTGGAAAACCAGGGCAATCAATTATTGCCTTCGTGCAACTTTTCCAGCACGAGGTCAGAGAGCTCGTGCCAATGTCAGGGCACAACAAAAATGGCGTAAAGTGCCGAAAAGTCTGTGTATAAACAAAACCAAAAAATTATGGATATCGATATTGATAAAATTCTATATTTTTTATCTTCGTTGTACGACAGCGATGAAGAGGAAGAATTATTAGGTCTGTTTCTGCAGAAATCACAAACCAGTCAGAGTGAATTTCATTGGTTGAAAACAGTCAGAAAACTAGTTTTAACTTAAAACTAGTTTTCTGACTGTTTTCAACCAATGAAATTTAATCGGATCTATTATATTATATACAATCGCAGGCCTATGATGTATCATTTTCTGTTATTTTAGCAGCAACATCAAAATAGAGACAGAAATAGATGTTGAGCCTTAACACAGACGTTGAAATAACAGGACAGAATACATCATAGGCCTGAATGTTTGCCAGGGATAATGAGATACAAAAAATTCAAAATTTTATTATTTTGAAATTGACATAAAAATTAATTTCAACGCAGGTATCATTGGAATTATTTCTGCACATCTCGGGAGACAGCATAATTATGTACTTTACATACAGGAAAAACTTCCGTTTTCAACTTTTTCATACACACAAACGTTTTTAATTTTTATTCCATTGAAAATGTCTTTAGGTTAGGATAGGGATCAGGGATCGTTGATAATAAATTTTAAAAGAATGACAAAACGCGCCAAATTCATGTTCTTTTGAGATTGCACTAAACGTGAACTGATTCAGTGTTGAGTGCAGAACTCGGACAGCACGAGTTTTACCAACAGAAAACTCTATAATTTTCGGGCAAGTAAAGCAAGTACAAATGAACAGCCTACTAGTGTTGCCAATCTGAATTTGTGAAATTACACGATATGCTGGTCAAAGACCAAAGTACACGTTTTTACACGCTTTCAGTCTCACAATTACACGATTTTTACACACGACCTTGGTACGTATTTTGTGACATCAAGAAAGTGAGTATAATTTTTTTTGTGTTTCATAATTTTGGGAAATGGGTCAAATCCAGTCAAATCTGAGTCAAATGCTCCTGTTCATCGCTCCTCCACCAAAAATAAAGATGTGGCCACAGAACTCTGGTTCCTGGAAAAGTGGTTACGTTTGGACCAAGGTTTTGGATAGTTGCACCTCAGGTTCCTGCAAGGATAATACACACTACTACTATAGGATAGCCTATCCTCATAAGACCTGTGTAGTTCAAATCTCAAGCCCCCCACCACGCCAAAGCACCAGTGATGACGTAGTAGCGTGTCGTTTCTCGTCTTGACATAGGGTGTTTGCACCACAAATTATGTTTCGGTGGGCTTTTGCTTTATGCATACTTGTAGGCTGTTCATTTGTACTTGCTCTACCTGCTCGGAAAATCAGGAAGATCTGATAGGAGCTGCTATTTATGAGCTTTTATATGGGACAAGTGAACGCCGATGAGCACCTGAGATCTGCTTGAAGCAAGAAAAGCAGTACAAATGAACAGCCTATTTGTTTCACTACAATAATTTCATTAACAAAACAACTCTTTCTCGACGAGTTTAGTTAATGACGTCGCAATGGTACTACACCATTGACCGCGATTACCAAAAACGAGGCCGATAAGCAATCCTTGTTCGATTGGTTTTATCCGTTTTATCTGTCGTTTATGTCAAATATTTTTTAGATATTTCATACATACAGAGAATGGAATGCAAGGAGCAAAAGGCTTAAAGAGAAAACGGCAAGTCCTATATGTCACAATGGGGCCGTGGCTTTAGATTGGAAAGCCGTGAAACCACTGAGCCTGAAACAGAACAAAAATAAAGAGAATGTCAAATTTATCAAATTACACAGAAAATACACGCTTTTTGTTTATGTTTGAAAAATACACAAATACACGCTAATTAAAATCGTGTAATTACACGCTAATTGGCAACACTATGGTTTATTTTTTTCAAAGATAGACTTGGCACAGCCTCCTATACTTAACAAGCCATGAAGTTGGAAATGACGGCAACGTCGCGTATGGTGCTATTTTGTTATTGGGTTATGTGTTTCTGTGTATTGCTTTCATTGTGTATTGTTGCAGTTTAGTATTTTTGTGGGCATTATTGACGAAAAAGTGGATAGAAACACACCAATATATTGCCCATATTTAGTTGATACCTGTTCCTTTGTGCTTTGATTGCAAATTTTTAGTAAATGGGTACAGGAGCAAAAATGAAGGTAAGGTAAGGTAAAACAATAAAAACAATATTATTATTTGTCTGCAAGAGCATAGGTCTCGATATATTACCTAAAATATTTAAACTTGTTCCAGATGCCATGAAACTACTGTGTTCCTGGGTGCAAATCGAACTATTAGGAGTTCCTTAAAAACTGAAGAAATGCAAACATTTTCATTTCCAAAAAAATTCTGAATTGCAAAAAATGTGGATGAAAGCAATACACCAAGATAATTATACCCGAGATTATACAATAACGAAAAATTCTGTGGTGTCTTGTAAACATTTTGAAGAAACCGAAATAATTAGATTTGAAACAAAGAAGGATAAAGGCGTAGTTCGAGAGTTCAAACTAAAACGTCCAACTGTTAAAAGTAGGTCCTCTTATTTTCGAAAATCAGCTCAAGTATTTGAATGGACCTGCCTTCCGAAAAAATCCCGAAGAAAGAAAAAGTTAGATTTTCAAAAGACATACTGAAACATAGGCCTATAATACTTTAGACTCTAGAAATATATTCATTTAAATCAATTATTTACTGTTCTTATTTAAACAAATAGTTATATTATTCATTGAATTACTGTTTTTGGCCCTTTAGTACAATAAATTATGCATTTTTTGTGATTCATATTAATAAAATAAAAAATATATATTTATAGAAACAAACACCACCAGCACCACTTGGCGGTAAAATTGCGGTGTTGCCTTTTTAACTTCATGGCTTGTTAAATGTAGGAGGCTGTGACTTTGGAAATGTCAACTTTGAAATATAAACAATGCCCCTAATGCCGCTTATTGGTCGCTATTGTAAAATTGATGTCAACCTGCAGAAACACCTCATTTTGCGACCAATCAGGGTCAAGCATTATTATTTATGTTTCAAAGTTTTCAATGTCAAAATCTATCTTGGGAAAAAATAAAGTGTAGGTCTGTTTCTGCGTTTCTGCAGAAATCACAAACCAGTCAGAGTGAATTTTATTGGTTGAAACTAGTTTTCTGACTGTTTCTGTCCAATGAAATTCGCTCCGACTGGTTTGTGATTTCTGAAACAGACCTCATAGGTTGGCAGCCGTTGACAGTGGTTTCCTGACAAGTGGAAACTGGAAATTATGGGCACTTTCCAAATTTCACCGATAAATTGACCGGTCAAAAAATTCCGGTAAAAGTTAGATGTAAAGTCTGTTTTTTTTTTAAAGATAATTCCCCAAGTCAAAAATTTAGTAACTTTGTTGGCAACACAAGCCTTTTCTACATGAAAATTTTGAAGGCATTGACAACTTTACATTGTATTGCCAACATAATGTCATTTTGACTTTTATCTTTAAAAAAAAAACACATTTTAAGTCCGGTTAGAAGATTTTTCTGATGCATTTTGGAACGCTCTGGTGTGTTAAAGTTTGGTTGTGACGATTGTGTTGCAACAATTTAACGAACGACTGCCAAAAAGATACTGCAGACGACTCTAGATAGTGCCTATTCAAAGCAAAAAAAAAGTGTCAAAAAATCTCCCACCGAAAAAACCGACAAAAATTCCCAGTGGATCCGGTGCCCCACCGGTTTCAAACAGCTGCATTCCGGCCAATTTTGGAGCGGACGATCTGGTTCAACCGGTAAAAAGTCGGTACATTTTGGAACGGTTTGGTGGCTAAACTATTGAACCGGTATCGCATCGGTTCAGAAACCGGTGAATTTTGGAAAGTGCCCGATGATACACACCTAGGATTGCTTATCGGCCTTGTTTTTGGAATCGCCGCCATAGTGGTGTGGTGTGTCACCATTTCCGATTCTGACGTCATAAGTAAGTCGTCAGCTGTTTAAACAGCCTAAAGCCTAGTACTCATAACTGCGAAATTCGCAATTTTTGCCCTATTATTTAAGAAGTGCTTATCCAAGTATGTTACGCACACACTACTACAGGATGGCCTATCCTCATTAGGCCTGTGTGTAACAATTCCCCGCCTTCCTCTCCAATCCAAAATACCAGTTGTGACGTGGACAGCATGTTATTTCTCGCCTTGACGCAGGCTGCTTAAACAGCTGATAACTTAGTTATGACGTCGGCAATGGTGGCACTCCAATATGGCGGCGATTATCAAAAACGAGGCCGATAAGCTCTCCTTATAGAGTGTGTATTCTCCTTGGTGCTTACCAGCCTCGTTTTTGGTAATCGCCGCCATATTGGTGTGATACCATTTCCGACGATTTGCTACACACAAGCCTTATGAGGATAGGTCATCCTGTAGTAGTAGTGTGTATTATCCTTGTGTTATCACTATCGTCCATCTCTTTTTCGTCGATTTGCTTCGAAATTTTGACAGGCACGTGATTTGTAAATTGAATCTGTCTGATCCAGTCACGTGCCGGTGGAAATCGACGAAAAAGATGACAAAAACGAACACGGTCATTAAAACTACTTTGGCAGTTAACTAAAAGTTAACTTCTGGAAAAACATGAGAAGTAATGTCTTTCCTGAAGTTAACTTTTAGTTATTCTGTCAAAATAGTTTTATACCCACCCAATGAACTATAAGGTTCGTTCCAACCCCCCGTTTTCGTATCGTCATGAAACGGTTTCGGAACTGTTGGGATCGATTGAAGGCGCATGCGTTGACCTTGCACGGTTTTATCTAGGTACAGAAACAACGGGTAGTTGGAACGGTTTCATGATCGTTTTCGTAATGACGACAGTTCAAATAACTTTAACCCTAAATTTGTTTGTTCGCAAATTAAAATAGAAGAATATAGGATTAGGATTACAAAATATAAAAAAGGAAAATCGAACACCAACGCTGATTCATTATCAAGAATCTGAAACTGAATCCTTGCAAGCTGATAACATCAAGGATTAGCAAATAGCTGATAATAAATTTTGTACTTTTTTTCACTTGAAAAAAATAAAAATGCCACAGTTTTATAAGTTAGATTGGAAATTGGTTGTTTAACAACAACATGAACAACAACAGGTGACAAAAATTGAATTACGCATGTCAGTCATGGATCAGTCCACGCGGTTCTTGCTTTCCACTCGGGATCGAAATGACGGTGCTAAAACCAGTTCTCGAACGATCCCAGGTTTGGTTGGAACGCCAACGAAACTGTACGGTAAACGATCATCTCTCGGTTGGAACGCGTTTAACCTATGGCGCATGACCGTGACCGTACATTGAACGGTTTTTGGCTGGGTTGGAACGAACCTATAGTCAAAAACTGGAATGCGCACACATTGCCATATCTGCCAAAAAAATGTAGCCATGAAAGACAGATGCCACAAAGGGGAATGTTGTTTTTTTCTGTTGCTCGCTGACATATGACGTTTTGGAAAGTTTTGTCATATTTACCTTCACAGGTTTCATCAATTGGAATACGTGTTGGAAGCAATTTCCGCCATTTAACATAATGAGTGCGACAAAAACAGGTATCCCCTCCGCAGCAGCGGCACTAGGCTTCACGTTCGTCAATATGTGTTCGCATTCCAGTTTTTGGTTATAGTTCATTGTACCCACCATTGAGCCTAGTACCTGTGCTAGTACTCATAACCGCGAAATTCGCTTTTTTTGACATCGCTTCGACAATTTGACTTTCCGTGCGTTCGGTATTTTGATCTGAGTTCTCCGAGCTTGAATTTACCATTCGTTTATTAGGCGGTTACACACGGACGTGGATGTCTGAAAACATGTACGCACATACATGAACGTGCAAACAAAAACATCAATGTGTATGCAAAATATCATCGCGTTTTTGAATGTGCAATTTTGTATGCACACTCGGAACACCGTAGCAAGAATAGCAAGACTGAAGTTTTGTGCGAGCGTCTGTACAAAAGCGCCATGCACGTTGTTGTTTGCACATTGATGTATGCACGTATATGTATTAAGACATCCACGTCCGAGTGTAACCGCCTATTAGCAAGACTGCAGTTTTGTGCGAGCGTCTGTACAAAGGCGCCATGCACGTTGTTGTTTGCACGTTGATGTATGCACGTATATGTATTAGAGGTGGGTTGCGATTCCAGGAACTGTGACTTTGTCACTGCTACTCGTCTGTCACAGTCACGGCCTGCTGCAGTCCCAGTCAAGTAGCAGTGACATTTTGTCACTGCCCGCTTCAAGCTCCGACCGATGCAGCGCAGACAAAACTCGAGCTAAGTGATGCAAATGCAATATTATAATATTATAAATCGCATCGCAGTCCCGCCAAATAATAACTGCCACCGCAGAGGGCAGGCTGGAAACTGGAACATCTCCCTCGGTCGTGACTGCGGGCTGCGATTATGCCATTTTGAGATGTAGCATTAACATAATATTAGCAGTTCGGCCGCCAACTAAGGTAAAACTGCTCCAAAAAATCACTGCTATTTGTCACAGTGACACAACTGGAGCAGTCACGTCTTGTCACAGCTGCATTAAAATCGCAGGTTGGCCCACTTCTAATATGTATTAAGCTATCCACGTCCGTGTGTAACCGCCTATTTGAAAAGTGTACTCGGTGCAGACTCATTCGCGTTCGTTTATTAAAATTTCGAGCACTCTTGTCTCTGACACAGCGTTCAATTGCTCTGTTCACTCGCTGTTCACGTGATTACGGCTCCGCTCAGCACGCTCTGCTCTTTAAGCAAAATACCGAACGCAAGGGTTGTATGCGTGAATCAAACGTCAAATTGTCGAAGCGTCAAAAAAGAGCGAATTTCGCGGTTAAAGCCTGGGGCCTTATTCTGTAAAGAACAAACCGATCGATTCGGTAGAATTTCTTCGATTGTGACGTAATTTTCGGTTTGCTAGCGCGGAAGCTATTCCTAAAATGCCGAAAATGACGTCACAATCGAAGAAATTCTACCGAATCGAACGGTTCGTTCTTTACAGAATAAGGCCCCTGGCCGGGGATTCTAAAATCACGATTCGACATACGACTCGACAACGACACGATTTTTCCGACGATTCTAGGTTAGAAATCTCATTGGAATTATACCTTTCGAGACGACAAGGCCGGTATCGTTTTCGAGTCGTGTGTCAAATCGTGATTTTAGAATCTCGGCCCTGTACTCATAACTGCGAAATTCGCATTTTTTTGACATTGCTTCCACAATTTGACGTTTTATGCATGAATCAAACGTTAAATTGTCGAAGCAATGTCAAAAAAGAGCAAATTTGGCAGTTATGAGTACTAGGCTTATGAGTACAAGGGTAAAGGCTGAGTTCGGCTTTACACTCTGTAAACTCTGAGCCCGCTCGAAATATAAGATCCTGTTCATTTTAGCTCTTAGAGTGTTCTCTAATTATCAACTGTACCTTTTGAAAAATTATATCCTAAAATATTGTCAAAAAACAAATTCGCTTTGCGTTTCCGGGTTTTTTTCCCAAATTTCTCTTCTACTTTTATTTCAGGTGCAATAATTTACGGAACGCTCTTTCTTGCTCCGTCAATTTCGATAGATCAAAGTTGGATCAAAATAGTAGGGTTTGTTCGGCAATTGCCCTCGTTTGGATTATAATCGCTCTCAGAGCACCACCGCAAAGATCTGTGACGTCACCACCCAGACGAGTTCGATGGGGAGCGCTCTGGGAGCAATAAAGCCGAAAATGTTATTTGGAAATCTTTTTTCCCCGAGCCTTTGGGTAGTTACTCTACTTTCGCTAAAAAGCCAGTTCCGAAAAGTTGGAGTACTACGGAGTACTAGAGTGCACGGAGCGAGCAAGCCGAATCCAGCACCAATCAATCTGTATCGAATAGAATATATTTATCTGTTTCTCTTCAATAGCACAAGCAAGATAGGGATACAATTGCATATATTTTTTTGACACTAGAAACAGAAACTACAAACTCTAACCTTACTTTTCAACCCAAAAAAAAATCAAAAATATTTTTGCAATCATGTCGATTTTTTATTGAAAAAATGGAAATAAATTTTACTCTAGACTGAATTTGGAAGAATTTATCAAAAATACGTGACTGCTGAAACTATAGTTTAGCACCACTTTTCCAGGATGCATAAAAAATCTCAACTTCAAACCAGCAATTATTTCAAAAATGAGGTAAGCTACCAAAGTTAGAATTATGATTTTATTAAATAAGGAAATCATCACATAAACCTGTGCCAACATTTCCATTTTTCTATTAGAACATCATATTAATTTATGAAGCATCGACGACCTTGGCTTAATTTCAAGTCGATGTTGTAATTCCTAATTAGGTTTATTTAGAGTGTCAGGTGACAAAATTAGTGCAAATTCGCAAATAATTAGAATATTATGTTTTATTTATTTGGGGCAGTATCGGTTGGTCCATGATGGTAAGCCAAATTTCTATTTTCACCGGTTGCAAATATACACAGCTGCGTTTTATCCAATACATATTAATTTGCTAATAAAGTTTACTTTCTTCATTGGCAGATAAATTTTGTGATGTCATTGTAATTACAGAAATGATAAGCAACATTTCATAATCTTTTATGTAATTCGAATTTTGTGATAGCAATAATATGAACATGAACACGCTTGGGAGATAAACTAGAAATGTTTATGTTATATATTTTACTACAAAATCGGAGATAAAATCCCTTTGGAAAATGACAATAATAATAATTACTCAATACTCTTATCCTATATTATACAGTGTAGGATTACATAATTTAAGCTTGCTGTACTTTATTTTATAAAAGTTGTAAATAGTTTTTACTTTTTACATTTATACAGCAGTGACCTTGTTAGTTATTTTGTTAATTATGTTCACACAAATTCAGTTTTTCGGCTATAAATGAGCCTTGAAATTTTATATCAGGTGCCTTCTTTATATTATCTTAATATCCAGGACATATAATTCTGTGTTATCTTTTTTTTTTTGCAGCAAACAATTGTAGAAAAAGTCTACACTGACCTTCCAAAGCAACAAATTATTCATAATATTGAACATTAAAAATACAGAATATTTGAAGTTAAAATATAGGCCTGCCCTTGAACTACTTTTTTATAAAGAGTGAATATCACTGTTGAATCACAACACACAATGGATTTGTTTATAAATAAGTTTTAATTGAATAATATTAAATACTTATCAGCAATAATTTCATGGAATATAAAATGCTCAAACCCAAGGGGTAAACCACCATCCCAGAATTTGTACAAACAATTCCTCAAAGGGGAATTTTCTACGCATAATTCCCCAAAATTCCTGCAAATTCCCCACAAATTCCTCCAGATACCCCATCACAAATTCCTCCAAATACCCCACCACAAATTTCTCCAAATACCCCACAAATTCCTCTAAATGCTCTGCAAATTCCTCCAAATTCCAGCAAATTCCTCTAAACTCTTCTCAAAATTCCCACAAATGTCTTAGTAAAAATACTAGAGCAGTTTATCAAATAGGATCGAGAATATGATCCAATGCAAGGTTACATTAGTTGACTTTAGAGCTAGAACTAATGATTGGTTTTCAGTAATCCGGAATGCAGGGGTTTAAACTAACCTAAACCCGCATTTGATATTACCTAGTTGATAAAAAAACCTTTTTAAGAAATTAAAACAAATATAATACAATACCTATAATACTAAGAATTATACACGTAATGTAGCTACTTTTTAAACAACTTAGGTAGGTGTATAATTGTTTCACAATATTGAGGGTAGGTAGGTATATCGTTTCTTTTTATTTCAAATGGACCTTTTCCTAAAAATTGAACAAGTTTTCAAGACCATAAACAATAAATTTAATCCGAAACTCAGCAAATGACTGTGTCTAATTCTTTTTTCAATAATTTGGAAATAAGTAAACTCTTTTTTCAACGTTCAGCCTTTTTCCCATAATATGATGCTAGGATGCATACTCGGATTTGGATACAGATAAACTTGTATCAACTTCAAGTAGCTTGAAGTTCTTTTACACTCAGGATCATTTCTAAGGAGATTTTGTACCTCTTCTGGAATCATAATCAATGCACTGTGAAAGTTTATTCAATCTTCTAAAACAATGACACAACTAACTAATAAATGTTCACTTTTATTATGTTTTTCAATTATCCAATTATTCAATTCAATTCAAATTTTTCCAGTAGAAAATAACAATATGAGGAATTTTTAAATTCGACGTACAATAACTGAATTAATTCAATATACAGTCTCGCACAATTCAAAGTTTTCCTGGAAAACTAGTGAAGGAAAAATTTTGAAACTTTTTGTATGTAAAGAGGAAGGGGAGAAGCTCATTTTCCCAAAATTTCAAATTTTTCTAGTGGAAAATAACAACGAACAACATGAAAAATCTTGGAAATCAAGTTACAAAAACTGAAATAATTGTTAATACAGTCTCACACAATTCAAAGTTTCCCTGGAAAACTAATTAAGGGAAAATTTCGAAACTATTTACATGTGAAGAGGAAGGTCAGAGGCTCATTCTCCCAGAATTTCAAATTTTTCCAGTGGAAAATAACAACATGAAGAATCTTGGAAATCAATTTCCAATAACTGAATCACTTGAAAATACAGTCTTACACATTTCAAAGTTTTCCTGGAAAACTAGTGAAGGCAAAAATATGAAACTTTTTGCATGTGAAGAGTAAAAAGGTTAAAGGCTTATTTTCCCAAAATTTCAAATTTTTCCAGTAGGAAATAATAACATGAGGAATATTGGAAATCAACCTACAATAACTAAATTAATTGGAAATACAGTCTCACACATTTCAAAGTTTTCATGGAAAACTAATTAAGGGAAAATTTTGAAACTTTTTACATGTGAAGAGGAAGGTGAGAGGCTCATTTTCCCAAAATTTCAAATTTTTCCAGTGGAAAATAACAACATTGAGAATCTTGGAAATCAATCCCCAATAACTGAATCAATTGAAAATACAGTCTTACACATTTTAAAGGTTTCCTGGAAAACTAGTGAAGGCAAAAATTTGAAACTTTTTGCATGTCAAGAGTTGAAAGGTTAAAGGCTTATTTTCCCAAAATTTCAAATTTTTCCAGTAGAAAATAACAACATGAGAAATATTGGAAATCAACCTACAATAACTGAATTAACTGAAAATACAGTCTCACACATTTCAAAGTTTTCCTGGAAAACTAGTAAAGGGAAAATTTTGAAACTTTTTACATGTGAAGAGGAATGTCAGAGGCTCATTTTCCCAAAATTTCAAATTTTTCCAGTAGAAAATAACAACATGAGGAATATTGAAAATCAACCAACCATAACTGAATTAATTGAAAATACAGTCTCACATATTTCATAGTTTTCCTGGAAAACTAATCAAGGGAAAATTTCGAAATTTTTTGCATGTTAGGAGGAAGCTTATTTTCCCAAAATTTCAAATTTTTCCAGTTTAAAATAACAATAACAACATGAACAATCTTGGAAATCAACTTACAAAAACAGACTCACACAATTCAAAGTTTTCCGGAAAACTAATTAGGGGAAAATTTTGAACCTTTTTACATGTGAAGAGGAAGGTCAGAGGCTCATTTTCCCAAAATTTCAAATTCTTCCAGTAGTTCCAGTAGAAAATAACAACATGAGTATTATTGAAAATCAACCTACAATAACTGAATTAATTGAAAATACAGTCTCACATATTTGAAAGTTTTCCTGGAAAACTAGTGAAGGCAAAAATTTGAAACTTTTTGCATGTGAAGAATACAAAGGTTATTTATTTATTTATTTATTAAAGGCTTATTTTCCCAAAATTTCAAATTTTTCCAGTAGAAAATAACAACATGAGGAATATTGGAAATCAACCTACAATAACTGAATTAATTGAAAATAGAGTCTCACACATTTTAAAGTTTACCTGGAAAACTAGTAAAGGGAAAATTTTGAAACTTTTCTCATGTGAAGGGGAAGGTCAGAGACTCATTTTCCCAAAATTTCAAATTTTTGCAGTGGCAAATAACAACATAAAGAATTTTGGAAATTAACTTACAAAAACTAAATTAGTTGAAAATACCGTCTCACACATTTCAAAGTTTTCCTGGAAAACTAGTGAAAGGAAAAATTTGAAACTTTTTGCATGTGAAGAGTAGAAAGGTTAAAGGTTCATTTTCCCAAATTTTCAAATTTATCCAGTCAAAAATTACAACATGAGGAATATTGGAAATCAACCTACAAAAACTGAATTAGTTGAAAATAACGTCTCACACATTTCAAAGTTTTCCTGGAAAACTAGTGAAAGGAAAAATTTGAAACTTTTTACATGTGAAGAGGAAGGTTAGAACCTCATTTTCCCAAAATTTCAAATTTTTCCAGTGGAAAATAACAACATGAAGAATTTTGCAAATCAGCCTACAAAAACATTATTGTTTTGAATTTGTACCTGTAAATCATGGAGTGTAATTTTGGGAGAATTTCTTTAATGAAAATGAATGTCCAACGTTCAACACAAAACTAAGATTTTTTTAAAAATTGCCATTTATTAGTGCTTCTTATAATAAGAATGTGAACCTCAGTGACGTCATGACTCTACAATTTCCTTTAAATTCCTCATAAATTTCTCACAAATTCCTCCAAATTCCTCATAAATTTTTCCGAATTCCCTATAAACTCCCCAAATTCTCATAAATTCGGATGAGTTCCTTCAAATTCCCTATAAATTCCTCACATTTTTGGCAAATAATTCCTAGGTGGTTTGCCCCTTGCTCAAACGTTAATGTCTAAATATTCTCACAATGCTCCTGGTCTCACTTAGAATGTTTTTCAGAGACTGGTTTAAACCAAAGAGAAAAATTCAACACATGTCTGAGGTTGAAAATTGAAAATATCTTTATTTAAATAGGTTAACCTAATATACAAAAAAAAATTATACAATATAAATTTGTCCCTTAACTTGGTTTGTGCATTCCACAACTTGTTCCAGCTGAATGATATTCCCAACTTAAATAATGTAATTCTTGATTTGGTTCCTGGCTATTCCAAGATTTTGGTGATTATCGGTGTTTGTAGATCAGAAGCCTTTTATATTTCTTTGAAAAAACAACTTGATACCTAATAACTAAAAGTATAGTATAAATGACCAATACATTTCCTTAAACCCTGACAATGAAATTTCTACATCAATCAATTTTTTGAACCACTGTATAAACGATTCTATTGTAGTCAGTTTATACACCTCATTGTTTTAAATTAGGTAAACAAAAATTTTGCAACATAATCAGTCTGTGATAACAGCTATTTTTTTCCATTTCAATTTGAATTTTCAATAATCTAATTAAAGAATTTTACTATCAGTTGGCCAACATGCAGGTACTTTAAAAATATTTTTACTCTTTCATTTAACAGTATTTCTTCTTGCTTTATACGGTACCTACACATTGCAATATTTTGGATTACCTTACAAACAATACTTACTAAACATTATTTAAAACAAAGTGTTTTTTTTTTCAGGCCAAAAAAACCAACCTAATTTATCCGCTACTACTTATATCCCTTACTGCCCTATTTATCTCTTACGTCACTCTCAGAGAACTGGAATGGGAAGAACATGTTTCCATAAAAAGAGGCCTCTCCTTGTTCGTCAGCGGTTTATTATTTTTCCCATCACTATTCTTGGCTTTGAACAATATACAAATCCATACACACCAAGGCAAGAAATATATGAGATTTTATAAGTTAGGTCTTAGCGATGTATACGATATCAGTAATAAGTAAGTTATTGATTATTTAATTGATAAACGATTAGTGAAAAATATTTCTATAGATCAGTGTCAGCCATACAAGCCCTGTTTTGCTGTCTCACCGGATTAACTTCCATTCAGTATTCTTGTCCGAGAGATATTCTGAAAACTTCCCATTATATTTCCGAAGCCTATGGGTGGTTTGGGGCAGCATATTTTTTTTACGATGTATGGTCTATGTATAAAGTGTGGAGTACAAAGGTGATTATTTTAGTGGTTTAATATTTTTGTTCTAAAAAGTTTTGTTTTAGGTGACACAAACTCCAATGGATGGAGTCAAAAACCAAATCATATTAAAAACAGTAAAAGTGACGGCCTATTTGAGTCAAAATATTATGATAGTGTTCCATCATGTTTTTATAGGATGTTTTGGATTTCTAGTGATAACTGTAAGTTTATTTATTGGTCCAAAGACACTTTCAAAATTATTTTTTTGTTATTTTATAGTACCTCAGGGGTGGATTAGGAGACTGTTTCTTTGGCTTCATCTATTTAATGGAAGCTAGTACTCCTTTTGTCTCGCTCAGATGCATTTTATCGAAAATGGGACTCAAACAGTCCAAATTGTATATAGCTAATGGCTTGGTTATGTTAGCTACATTCTTTATATTCCGTGTGGCTATGTTCCCTTATGTAATTAATTTATTTGCCCAGGCTATAGGAGTGGACTTTTTTACGGTAAGATTAATAATTATTTAAATCACTTTTTATTATTTTACAATATTCTAGGCTGTGACAAAACTACCTAGGAATTGTCTAATAAGCATCAGCCTGTTGTTGTTCCCGCAATTTTATTGGTTCTTGCTTATGGTTAAAGGCGCCAGTCAAGTATTATTTACCAACAAATCTACAGAAAAAAATGCCAACAATAACAATTTGAAAAAAAAGTCGCGATAAAAAATTGGCAATGGTTATCCAAAACTATTTTCCCAGAGGAGTGATTCAGGGATTGAAGATAACTAGAAAAGGAAGTATGGTTTTTTGTTTTATAGAATTTAGTGGTGGCTGTGATTTTTATTTTTTTTTATTTTCTTTTTCATCGAAGCTATGCTAGATTTCTAATTTATTTATTTATTTATTGAATCTTAATCTAGCAGCTTAAAAAATATACAAATAATCAGTGTGAAGCTGTTTTTTTTTGCCAAAAGCTAATTTATTGTGACATCACGGTAAAAGAAATTTAAATTAATTAGGGATTGTATGTACAGGGCAATTCTTGCATTTATACATATTTTCATTTATTTCTTTAACTGAATGAAATACTCAGTCAGTCGTCACTTACTTTTTTGTTTTAATTATAGTTTTATTTATTGTATCTGAAACGAGAACAATCCCTAAAACATAGCGTGTATATATTTTCAGGAATACTTTATACCCCATATATTTTTATAAATATCTGTTAATTATTATGAAACGTACACATCTTTCTCTAAAGTTTTGAAAGTTAATTTGAGGCTTTGTTGTCTTGAAAACTCCAGAAAAATCCAGTAAATATTGAAAATATCTACAAAAAAAAAGGAATTTGTTGTGTTTCAAGTGAATGTTGTGATTTGGAAATTTCGCCTCTTATCGCTGTTATTGGTGTTCTATATGTGTAATTTGGCTTTTTTGATTGAAAAAGGACTAGGAATCGATTTTTTTCCTAGTGATCCATGTTTGATAATCTTAGGCTCAGTAAGACTAGCCTTTTTAGAAAATCTTAATTCAGACTGCAATTTATTACGGGAGTACTTCTCTCCTTATTTTCATGTTTGAAAGCTATATTTTTAGAAAAATGTGTAATCTTTGATGCATTTATTTTGAAAGTTTTTGAGACTCGATAAAATGGTAAAAATAGTAATATTGAATATTTTTGTAAATGCAGCATCTTTATTTGGCAAATATATTTAAAATTATAATATACTATTATAGAAACATTGTCCCTGTATGTGTACAAAATAAAGGAGGTGTGTATTCTCAGAAAAATAGTTGTTTTATTTTTAACGCAGAAGTTTCAATAATTTTAAAGTTTTAAGTCATCCTTGTGGTGTATTGCGCATGATAAACTGTTAAATGTTAATGTCTGCAACTTGTTGCCTAGTCTTTCTTGAATTCGTTTACACTTGGAGCTGTCACTGTGTGTTCCTCAAGCGAGTTCCACCTATATACTACCCGATTTGTTATAAAGTTTTTTCTGATCAGCAGGTGGCTCTTTTACTTGTTTATTTTTTTTTTTGAATGTCCCCGCAATTTCCTTGGATCATGTCCCCACGTTCTCGTCTTTCTTTTAGAGATGATATTTGATATAGGTATTTCTAATCTCTCCAGATAAGATAAATGTCTGGGTTTCATCAGAAATTTTTGTCATTCTTCTCTGGACTCTTTCAAGGATTTCAATATCTTTAACAAAATATGGACTCCACACTGAACAGGCATTCTCTATTTTGGAACGAACATAGGTTTTATACAGTTTAAATACCATTTCTACTGAGGTAGTACAGAATGCTCGTTGCTCGGCTCGTTGTATAAGGTAAATGAGTGTATTTGCCTTCTTTTAGCAATATTTGCAATGTGAGGTTCCCAATTTAAATCATCACTGACCAAAATATCAAGATCATTTTGCTGTTCCACACTTTGTATCAAAGAATCTCCAAGCTGCGAGTATGAGGATTGTTTTTCCCTAGATGAAGAACTGTATGTACACTTGGAGTTAGGGCGCAGCATCCATTTTCTAGTCCATTCATGTATTACTCCTAAGTCTTCTTCGATCTGATGTTGCATAGGGTTGCCGAACAATTTAGTGTCGTCAGCAAAGTAAGCTGTACGATGATGTTACCTTAAGACCATAAATCACTAATATAGGTTATAAACAGTAATGGCCCCAAAACTGAACCTTGAGGAACACCGCTACGCACATTATGACCAGATGAAAGTATGTTGTTGGCACGGACCACATACGTTCTGTTTCGAAGAGAACAAGCTATCCATTTTGCAAGAGTTCACCACGTATCCCAAAGTGATCCAACTTGTACGGCATTTTTTTGAGCCTTTTTCACTCAGTCTTTCTATAGGCATCATGTCAAACGCTTTCTCGTAATCCAAATAGACAACATCAATTGATAGATATAAAAAGAAAAACGGCACCATATAACACAGGTAAAGGCGCTACAAGGACTGTCTCAACGGTTTCATTACTGCGATGAGGAAGTCAACGGGAAACCACCTCATTATCCTCCCCTGGGTCCTTATTCTTGAAACAGGGGAGCAGCTTTCCCAGGAGAACGAGTGTTCTGTCTTTGTTAGTTATATTATCATTTGCATATCATTGAGAAAGACGGAACACTCGTTCTCCTGGGAACGCTGCTCCCCTGTTTCAAGAATAAGGACCCAGGAAAAATCATTGGAATGTCTATGACTGGAAAACCAGAAGCACAGGCCCTCAGTTCCCGGCAGGTCTTCTTAAGTGATCAGAGGGTGCTAAGAATCTCCGGGACAGTAATGAAGGAGATTCCCACCTGGAACGCACAAAGTATGTTGCAATATGGTAAAACTCATAACGCCATCGGAGAGATGAAAAGAATGAACATCGAAATTTTAGGGATCAGCGAAATGAGATAGCCAAATTCTGGAGAATGTCAAATTGACGATCATCATATCTACTATGTGGTGGCAATGACGAGGTCCATCACTATAATGGCGTGGCGCTCATAGTTAATACACAAGTACAAAAATCGGTAAAATATTTTGTCCCGGCCTCTGATAGAGTAGCAATTCTGCAGCTCAATTCCAAGCCATTTAATGTCAACATCATCCAGATATATGCACCAACGAGCGAGCACTCGGACGAAGCTGTCGGTCGAAGCCTTCTACGAACAACTTCAAACCGCCTTGAATCTCACTAAAAAGTCAGAAACCACCATTATTATGGGTGATTTTTATGGAAAGATTGGTAACGGTGCGAGGGAAGACATAGTTGGTAGATGTATTGGGTATTGCAAACGAACGCGGCGACCGAGTTCCAGTTTTGTCAAGAGATGGGGTTTGTTGTCTCGAACACTTTCTTTAAGCTCCCACCAGTCCCACCAAGGCGCCTGTACACTTGGACTTCTAACGCCCATACGCCAGGGGAGGATAGTCCAGAAACCAAATAGACTTTCTATTGATAAATAAAAGATACAGAAATTGCATTAAATCGGCAAAAACTTACCCTATCGCAGACAAAAATTCCGATCACAATCCGCTTGTAGCAAATATTCAGTTAACTCTAAAAAAAGTGTACAGTAAAGGGAAGCTACACCCTAAACCAGATCTGACAAAACTGAACAACCCAGAAATGCTAACAAACTAAATTGTAAACTAAGCAAAGTAACCGTTGGTGGAGCAGTATTCCGAAGCGGAGACTGTTTGAACCAAAATCAAGGAAGCTTTCGCAAACAGTTTGAAATTACCTTCAAACGATAATAAGATTAAAAAAAAGCCTTGATAACTGATGAAATTCTTTATTTTATGGAAGAGAGACGCTTGACAAAAGATGCATCGTGAAATAAAGAACAAAATTAGATTGGCCAAAGAAAATTGGCTTAACCAGCAAAGTCACGAAATCGAAGTTTTGGAGGCTAAGTATGACACATGCACAAGAAAAATAGAAAGTTGCTGGTGTATACAAACCACGACAAAATGGCATTCTCTTGGACAATGAAGATAAAATAATTCTTGACGTTAACGATAAATTAGAACAGTGGTGCAGCTATATCAAAAACCTTTTTCATAATGAAATATCGGACTATCTGACTCTCCTGAACAATATACAAGCGATGGGCTTGATATAACTAAGGAAGAAGTCCAACGTGCAGTCACGTTATCAAAAAATAGAAAAGCTGCAGATCCAGATGGAATTTACTCGGAAGTCATTAAGATCTTAAAGAACGAGGAGTCACTTAACGTGATTGTGAAGCTTTTTAATATGGTCTACCGATCGGGCGTCATTCCTTCCGACTGGCTTCAATTAACATTTATAACCCTTCCAAGAAGAGCACGGTAAAAAGATGTAGCGATTATCAGCTTGATGAGTCACTTTCTTAAGATTTTCCTAAAGACCATCCATAAGAGAATATAATATGCAAAATGCAAGTCCTTTATGCGTGAATTTGAGTTCGGTTTTCGTAACGGGTTCGGTACGAGAGAGGCGCTGTTTAGTATCCAAGTGTTGGCTCAGACATGCAGGGATATGTCTCTGTTCCTGTTTATGCCTGTTTCATAGACTACGTCAGGGTGCAACACGAAAAGCTTATGAAAATCCTTGAAGACGTTAGGCCTGGACAATAGAGACCTTACAAATCTTTACTGGAACCAAACTGCACAAATTAAGGTAAGCTGGGTTCGGCTATTCAGCGCGGAGTTGGAGTGGAGTGAACAGAGCTAATGGAGTCACCCCTAATACGGTAAAAAGCAGAGATGGGCATCTACGCGTAAACAAAGATTGTCTACGTCTGGTGTAAACAACGCGTAGACAATGTAAACTACACTTTATTTTTTCCCAAGATAGATTTTGACATTGAAAACTTTGAAACATAAACAATAACGCTTGACCCTGATTGGTCGCAAAATGAGGTGTTTCTGCAGGTTGACATCAGTTTCACAATAGCGCCCAATAGGCAGCATTAGCGGCATTGTTTATGTTTCAAAGTTGACAGTGCCAAAATCTATCTTGGGAAAAAATAAAGTATATGTAATCTATAGGCGTATTTTAGCGACAGGTAAACATCATACTACACATACTACGATTCATGACGTCATAGTTACCCAAATAACAGGTGGAGTGTATTTGACAAAGGGTCTAAGAGAGGACGCCACGATCGTTGTTTATTTGGATTTGTTGAATTTTGTAAAATTTAGCGTTTTCGAGTTTCAATATTATTTCTCCAGTGAAGATTTTCGAATATTTTTGATAGATTGTGGTATTTTTGAATTTTATGGGTACCCTATGCCAAAAAAAAAAAAAATTACACTTTTGTGCACCAGTGAAGATTTTTTATTTTTTTTGCAAAAAACCTCTAAAATAAAATCACAGAAAACCATGGCAAAATGAGGAAAAACAATCCTCTATTTATAATGGAAAGACTGTGTCGGTAATCGTAGCGTAATCAGCTGATGTTTTGCCCATATGCTCATTTTCATGTATTAGAAAAAGATGCACTGACATACTACAACCAGTAACTATCCCTCCTAGGATGTTTACATGTTTACAGTCGAGTTTTATGTTGTGTTTTATGTTGTGACGTCATAGTATGTTAGCCATGCTCGCTAAAATGTAGTTTCCCAAGTAAATACAACATACTACTGGGTTAAAACTCTCGCTAAAATACGCCTTATTGTAGACAACGTGTAAACTATTGTCGATTAAAGGCGATTAACCAGTCGGTTATATTGACAGATAAACGATGCATTTAACGTCATTTATAACCGATTGGTTGACAAATGACGTTTGCTTCATTGATTATCTGTCAACTATGACCGACCGGTTAATCGCCTTTAATCGATGTATATGTAGACAACGCGTGAAGTATACAATTTTTGACAGTTGGCAGGCCTTAAGGTTATGTTTTTGTTTTTGCTTTGTTTTGTTTTTTGCTTTGTAAAGTTAATTAAACTGCAGATATAGCTGCTTACGATCAAGCACTTTTCTTACCTAAGTTAAAGTTAGTTTCTTAGCTGAGCTAAGTTGTTTGATCGTACGCGCAATTCATATAGGCTGATCAGCTGCCTATCAAGTTACGACTCACGTCACGTATTTCTAGTTCGGGTACTAGTTACGACGAGAGTTTCAGGTTCAGTTTGTTGTTTTTATTAATTTATTTTCAATTGAAATTGAAACTGAATTGTTTTTGTACTACAGTACAGTTTATTTCACATTAAAAATGAACAATTATCTACCTAGAAGTGTCATGACGCGTGCAATGAATAATAAGTTCCTGTTCCAACGACCAACTTTCAACAAAATAAAAATAAAGAAACAACCTCAATTTAGAAATTATGAAACGTCAAAATTCAAAAAATGCGTACTTCGCGCCAACTTAGGTCAGCTAAGTTATCACAGTTAAAAATCCGGGTGTCTTAGCAGGGGAAAGGGGGGAAGGCAGATTCTAACTTAGTGTTGATAGATCGTACGCGCAACGCGCAACTAAGTTAGATTCTTTAAGTTAGGTAAGAAAAGTGCTTGATCGTAAGCAGCTAATGTCTAATTTGATACAATATAAATTTAATGCAATGCAAACTTTAAAAAAAATTACTCAAATTTCAAATTTTCTGTTGTCTACATTGTCTACGTAGTTTACATAGTCTACATGGAAAAAAGTGGATGAAAACAAATGTAGACAAGGAGTAGACAAACCGCGTCGGCGTAAAGTAGATTTCATAGTCTACGGCACATCCCTGGTTTACACCTTGCGTTCGGTATTATGATCCGAGTTCTCCGCGCTTGAATTTACCGTTCGTTTATTCAAAAAGTGTACTCGGAGCAGGCTCATTTGCGTTCCTTTATTAAAATTTCGGGCACTCAGATACGCGCGCAACTACTCTATTCGCTCGCTGGTCACGTGATTACGGCTCCGCTCAGCACGATCTGCTCTTTGAGCAAAATACCGAACGCAAGGATTGTCTACGCGTTGTTTACACCAGAACATAGACAATCTTTAGGCCTTTTCGGAAACACTGATCCGATTAACCGGATCATCAGCTGATATCCTTTGTCTATTTTCAATTGTATCCATTAAAGGAAGATAAAAGACAAACAGCTGGTGATCGGCTTAATCGGATCACTATTTTCGAAAAGGCCTTTTATTTACGCGTAGATGACCATCCCTGCTATAGACCTGTTTTCTCTCGTTCACTTTTTTGAACCTGGGTTCAAAACAGGTTTATTTGAAACAGTATTCTTGGAGTAAAAAGCAATACCCGAACCTTAACCCGAACGGCTGGAGTGCGAATGGAGTCACTCGGAGTGCACGGAGTGAGCAAGCCGAACCCACCTCTTATAAATCAACAGTCAACAGATGTCAAGCGAAGTTCGAATCAAAAGGAAAGGGGTGTCCGACAGGGTTGTATCCTTTCACCGTTACTTTTTAACATCTACTCAAACAAAATATTCAAAGATGCCCTGGATAACTACCCTGAAGGAATTTTCATTAATGGCGTTTACATAAATAACCTTAAGGTACCGGCCGCGCTGACGACGCCGTTATAATCGCGGACTCGTTGAAGGGTCTTCAGATTTTACTTGAACAGGTGGCAACTAATAGTGCAGAATTTGGTTTAAATTTAAACATCAAAAAGTTTACATAAAAAGTTTACATGGATGTTCATTAATAAGAATAATCAAGTTGGAGGAGGTATTCTACAGGTACAGAACCAACAAATCGAACGCGGTACCTAAGGCATACAAATATCTTGGATGCCAAGTCAACGAAAACTGGGAAAATATGCAGGAGGTCCGTGCTCGAATTGAACAAGCCAGAGCATCATTTGCAAAAATGAAGCCCGTGATGTCTTGCTAAAAGTCTGTCGCTCTCCGTTCGCACTCGAGTACTACGTTGTTACGTCTTGATCCTCTATTATGGAATTGAGGCGTGGACTCTACCTACGCCATGTGTAAAAAGCTGTAAGCTTTCGCAATGTGGACGTATTGACGGATGCTGAGAATATCATAGATGGACAGAGTGCTCAATGTGGATGTGCTTGCGGGAATGTTAAAAGATCTCGAAGTCATGCTCACACTTGAAAAACGAAAGGTCTGTGATCGTGGCTAAAGAATTTGAGACAATGAAATGGTGAGACTACGACAAATCTCTTCAGAAAAGCGGACGACAAAGTGCAGATAGCGCTAATGATTGCTAACGTTCGAAGAGTACAAGGCACTCATTAAACAAGAAGTCAGCATTCAACAGCGTTACCAACTGTCCGTTCGGTATTTTGATCTGAGCTCTCCGAGCTTGAATTTACCATTCGTTTATTCAAAAGTGTACTCGGTGCAGGCTCATTCGCGTTCGCTTATTCAAATTTCGGGCACTCTGACACAGAGTTCAACTGCTCTGTTCGCTTGCTGGTTACGTGTTTACGGCTCCGCTCAGCACGCTCTGCTCTTTGAGCAAAATACCGACCGCAAGGCAAATGTAATCATCAAATCCCTGAGCTGCTTTCGGGTGCCACCCTTTGAGCGCTCCCGAGTTACTCCGAAGTACTCCGACTCCGACTACAGTTTGACCCGTTCGGTTTCAAGAGTTCGAGAGCAAAACATATGAAGTATGATCTCGTATAACATATATCTTTAGAGTATGACAGGTGTGAAGTATTCTAGGAAGTTCGCACTCTGCACCCGAAAGCGGCTCTGGGGCTCAGTGGTTTTGACATTTATTATTAATTTGACAACAATTACTAAACATAACCTTACTTTTGTTTTTGCCGGCTAAAATTTGTTTTTGTTGATTAATTTGTTCGTAGTTTGTAATATTTGAAAGATTTTTTAATGAATTCTCATTGCTTTTTATAAATGAACTAGAACTATGTGTGGTAGAGGCAGCAATACACGTTTCAAAGACAAAAAAGGCAAAGATATCGACGATGGGTTTGATCATTGGGTAAGTTTAATCTGAGGAATAAACCACCTCGAAAAATGTGTACACCAGAATCCCACTTTCAACAAAATCCCACGAAATCCTACTAGAATCTGACAATATCCTACTCAAATCCCTACTGAAATCCCAAGCCATCTTACTGGAATCCCACGGAATCCTAGTGAAATCCCACGATATCCTATTGGAATTTCAATTGAGGCGTAAGTTCCAAAAAATGTAAGGTAATATTAGTTTACACTGATGAAACTATTGGATTTTGGATTACTTACTTGTAAGTTCATCGTCGTGTTTTTGATAAGTTTGTAGCAATAAGAACCTAGGAAACTTCTTATGTCTTCAAATACTTTCTATTTAAATACAACAATTCTCAAGTTTTACACGAACAATAATCAATATAATGACACTCGACTTGACAATAATCAATTAATGACAACTAACTCGACAATCAGAAATATACCTGTTGAGAGTCGAGGTATCACTGGTACTGGTATCACTACAGTTTCGGCCAACCTGACAATTGAGTCGTCCTCGACTAAAAGTCTTGACATAGGTAACATAATGCAAGTATCTAATCAATAAATCTAACACAACATAAAATTAGTCAATACAGACTCATTGATAAAGACAAAATAATGGAATGAATTTCTATGTGATTTGTGAAGTAGACATAAACATAATTCATAAATATCTCATAAAAATCCATGTACATAATTTGAGTGTGAAAGATTCATAATTCATAAGTTATTGCATATCATAAGTTATTATAATAATATTTCGAAGACAATATAAACTATCCTGTGACACAAAACAATAAAATCATGAGAAAGTATGGATAAGTACCTATTAGTACCAATAACATATTATACTCAAGAAATACAACAAAATGATATACTTTTCTAAAATAAAAATCTACTAAAATAATGAAAATACAAGTTATATAATATCAGAACAAGTGGGTAACCATAACTTCAAATTATCTGGAACATGAATACCTTCATAAGGGATTTGTGTTATCTGAAATCCTTCGATATCCCTAACTACGTATCTATCATGATCCAGTACTTTTACAACCTCATAAGGCCCTCTAAATTTGGGAATTAATTTTTTGTTCATCCCTGGGCTTACGTCTACATTTTTTATCATCACAAAATCACCCAAATTGTATCCCTTAGGAGTTTTATGTCTAGAGTCAAAATATTTCTTATTATATTCCTGTACTTTAGCATTTTGTCTACAAGCTTCATTTCTTACTACATCAAGATCTGTTACTTCATTTTCAGACTTTTCAAGCTCTAAATAATGTCTAAGGCCCAGTTGTACAATCTCGGTTCAAAACAAAGTTCAACTGAACTCGACTGGTACTTGAGCTTTCCCATTTAAAATACATTGCTGTCAGCTATTAATCAAATTCTATCAATTTTGACAGCAATGCATTTCAAATGGGGAAGTTCAAGTACTAGTCGAGTTTAGCTGAACTCTGCTTTGAACCAAGATTGTACAACTGGGCCTAAGACTATCATTTCTATCTCTCTGATTCACCCCAAATAATAATAATTCAGCAGGACTTTTACCTGTCGATCTACAAATAGAGTTATTTATTGAGAATTCTACATCCCCCAAGTGTTTATCCCATTTATTAGTCAGTAAAGTTAGCTTCGAAAGCATTGGGGTTAAATCTCTATTTACCCTCTCAATTTGACCATTGGATTTAGGATAAGCCGATGCTATTTTTATGTGAACTAATTCGTGAATATTGATAAAATTTTCAAATTCGTAAGAGGTGAAAGCTGTACCTCGATCTGACACAATACGAACTGGCTTACTATAACTATTGAAGTATTCCTCTAGTTTAGAAATAACTTCAGAAGTAGTTACAGATTTAACAGGATAAAATTTCACAAACTTAGTGAAGCTGTCAATTACTTCAAAAATATATTTTTAATTTCTTGGAGTTTTCTCAAGAGGACCGAAATGATCGATGTGAATCGTTATGAAAGGTCTATCTCCTTTAGGAATAGAATGCAAGGTACCCTCTTGTGGACCAGTTTTTTTCGAATATGTTAAACATTTCATGCAGTTTTGAATGTAAGTTTTAATTTTATCGTGCATCTTTGGAAACCAATACACTCTGGAAAGATATTCTATGGTCTTATCAATTCCTGCGTGCCCCAAATTATCATGACAATTATATATGACTTTGCCTTCCATAGCTTCAGGGACATAAAACGAAGAATCATTTTTATTTTTTCTATAAACCAATCCGTTCCGCATTTCAAATTTTTTGTCTTCTCTATCGATCAAAATAGATTTAATTTTAATAATTTCTGGGTCTAAATTTTGAGCTAAAGCCAAATTCTGTTCAAACGTGTTCTCCTCTAAAATAAATATACTATTGGCTCGACTTAAAGCGTCTACACGTTTCATTCGGTTATTATCCCTATGTTCTAAACTATAATCATAATTCTGTAAAACCAAGGCCCACTTATTAATTTTACGATTTATTTCCTTCTTACTAAGAGCTTGCTTGCTCGAATTACAGTCAGTTACAATTTTAATTTTTATTCCATGCACATAAACCCTAAATCTTTCTAAAGCATACACAATAGCGAGCATCTCTAGTTCATAACTGTGAAATTTAGCTTCCGCAGAATTAGTTCTTTTACTGAAATATGAAACTGGTCGAAACAAATCATTATTTTGCTTTTGTAAAAGTATTGCTCCAAATCCTTGGGCGCAAGCATCGCAATGTAGTTCTGTGTCTAATTCAGGAGAATAGATAGAGATAGCCAAGATTGGGGCTTCAATTAATTTGGTTTTCAAAGTATTAAATGACTGTAATTGTGATTCTTTAAATTCAAACTTTGATTCTTTCCTAATTAAGTCATAAAGTGGCTTTGCTATGACAGAAAATCCTTGAATAAAACGCCTAAAGTATGAAGCTAAGCCTAAAAATCTTTGAACTTTCTTTTGGTCATCAGGAATTGGATAATTCTCAACAGCTAAAGCATTATTGGGATTTGGTTTGATGCCATTGCCATCAATCAAATACCCTAAATATAAAATTTGATTCTGTAAAAATGAACATTTGTCAATTCTAAACTTTAATAGGTTTTTGACAGCAATTTTTAAAACGTTCTTTAAAATGTCCATATGTTCAGAAATTGACTCTGTTGCAATAAGAATATCATCTAGATAGATCAAGACTTTATTTTCCCTTATCAAATCCTTGAAGACGTGGTTGATAAATCTCATGAATACAGAGGGAGGGCGCATTGCATAAACCCATAGGCATAAATAAATATTCAAATTGTCCCAAAGGAGTAATAAATGAAGTGTACTTTATGGAATCTTCTGCCATTTTTACATGATAGAACCCATGTTTCAAGTCTAAGCTAGTAAAATAGTTCTTATTTTTCAGAAGGTCTAAATGATCGTCTATTAGAGGAATAGGATAATGATCCTTAACTGTCACTTTATTCAACTCTCTAAAATCTACGCATAACCTTAAAGTTTTATTTTTTTTCTCTCTTAAAACAATCGGACTGCAATAAGGACTATTACTCTCTCTAATTATTCCATCATTTAAAAATTCATCTAATATTTTCCTCAATTAATTTTTTTCTGAATAAGACAACTTACGAGGCCTAAAAGCAAATGGTTGTTCATGAACTAAGCTAATTTTCATCTTTAAATCAACTTCAGGGGTATCAGAACGTTCAGGCTCTAAATATTCTTCAAGAAATAAATCATTTACCTTTTTAACTACTATTGGGTCAATTTGAGCATTAATATTTAATGAAAAGTTAGTTTTATCAAAGTCATAATCAATAAATAATAATTCATTATTGACAACGTTATTGAACATACTTTGAACCTTCTTGATAGTGACGTTTTCGCCCAGAGTGATCTCAAAATTCTCTAACATGGTAAAATCTCTTCCCAAAATTGAGGGTACAGTCATGGTTTTATTTTTTACTACAAAAAATCTTATTGGGACATCCACATTGTTAATAACTACTCTTTCATTTAAAACACCTAAAACTTCTAACTTAGAATTATTTAAGCCAAAATAGGAACTACTGTCGTTATTTTCTTTAAGCAAATAGAATGGCACATATTTGGATTTTATTAAACTTATTGGGCTACCAGTATCTAACATGGCTTTTAAAGTTATACTACCTTTAACCTCATCACTCTGATACATTATTTCCAGTGGTAGTTCATAAGTCCCATCTTTTGTAGAAGATCCTATAACCATAGTAGTACTAGCAGGCGTCACTGAAGTCCTTTGAGGGCAGACATTTCTCAAATGTTGTTTTGAACCACAACTGAAGCAGGATCCTTTTTCTCGTTTAGGTTTAGGACAATTTGCAATTAGGTGTCCTTCCTCATAGCAATTGAAACATCTAGCTTTTTTTGGCTCCACTTGAACAGTTCTACTAGCACCAGATATGGATGAGGCATTCACCACAGGCATAGTATTTTTAGGTAGATGTTTTGACCTAATAGCACTTTGCGCTGTGTGTCTAGTACGTCTTTCATTAACTATACGATCATAATTGATCATGTCATGATAAAGATCATTAACATCAATGTGATCTTTGGTCAGTAGCATGCTTGAGAGTTCACGTGAAGAAAGGCCGATTATATTTTGTTCTTTTTGTTCATCAAAGCTCAAACCAAGATCCTGACATAATCTAATCTTTTCATGATAATAAAAACTTAGATCCTCACCTGACTTTTGGCATCGTGTTGTCATTGCTTTCCATAGAGAAGTTAAATTCTTACAAGGGATAAAAGTATCTTGAAATTCTTGTTTGAATTTTAGCCATGACGGTATTCTACTTCTTCGTGCTTCATACCAATGTAGAGCCGCACCAGTAAGCTTCGATCTAGCCGTCTCCAAAATAAACTCATCTGGCGAATGGTGGAGTGTAGCTGCACTTTCGAGGGATTCAAGCCAAGATTTGCTTTTGTCCAAATCTTCACCAGCATAATCTGAAATAGTCTTTGAAAAATCGGGTATAACTGCATAATTACGCTGAGGAATTTGATTCTGCTGATTATTCATAAGAGCCCGTAACACCATTGCGTTTTGATTCATAACCTGGTTAATTGAAGTCATAAATTCGGTCATATTGAAAGCATTATTGCCCCTGTTAGTGCCTGTAGCTTCATTTGCAAATCCAGAAGCAAAGCTTTCAAAATGTTCGGCACTTATTGTCTGGTTTTCTTGATTTCTATCCATCTTTGTATCTCACCGCTCTCCTATGGCTTCGGAACAAAATCCGTCGTCATCCGCTTCACTATAGCTTCAGACCCCACACCTGATTAACTGTAGCAATAAGAACCTAGGAAACTTCTTATGTCTTCAAATACTTTCTATTTAAATACAATAATTCTCAAGTTTTACACGAACAATAATCAATATAATGACACTCGACTTGACAATAATCAATTAATGACAACTAACTCGACAATCAGAAATATACCTGTCGAGGTATCACTGGTATCACTACAAGTTATTGTCCATAATGAATATCCACTTGGAATAATGGACTAATAACTACAAGATTGTAAAAGTGAAATAGAAATTTGTGCTAACTGTAAACATGGTAAGGAAATACTAAAAATTCCAAACATAGAATATAATCATATGGCATTGAACAGAGAGTGTGAAGCATACAAAAGAATATACCAGCAGTTGCAAATGAGAGTTGATTACCCAAATACATTTGGTTCACAAAGTAAATAACAATCACAGAATCATAGCTTAATGCTAAATATTGAAAGCTTCACAGCACATAGAATAGAGCTGGCATGGATTGTAAATAAGTGGAAACCCATAATTGTTTGTTTAACCGAAACACATATAACAGAGGAATTGCAGGAAAATTAAATAAATATAAATGGGTATAAAGAAGTGCACGCATTGTCAACAAGCAGACATATATGCAAAGGTGGAATTTTATTACAAACCAACAATAAATATTGTTCTCGATATTGTTATAGAAAAAACAAATTCAATGTCAAATAAATCATACATCGAAAATAGCGGATCACTCCATTCTTACAATACAACTACCATCTCAGGAACCAGAAATACAAAAGAAAATCTTCAGAGATATGAAAAACTTCAATAGAGCTCAATTCCAACTAACTAGATCTTATGCAATGTGAGTGGCCAGGAAATCTCGGAAACGTCGATGAAATGGCAAACTACCTAGTACAATAGTTATTTTCCTAACAAGGGCGGAAAGTGATACTTTCCCGCACGCGACTGCCGTTGACCCGAACGACGCGAAGCGGAGTTCGGGCAAGCAGTCGAGTGCGGGAAAGATACTTTCCGCATGAGTTAGGAACATTATTTTTTCTACGAGCGCGTTCAAATATAAAAACAAGAACTAAGTAAATTCAAAGCGATATATTATTAAAGAAATTTAATTACAAAATTACTTATTTTTATATTTTTACGTTTAATTTCAAGAATGATTGAAAAAAATTATGTATTAAATCGATTTGATGTTACAATAAACAAAATTTCTAAGGTAAAAGAACTGCCCCGCCTTAAAGGAACCAAAAAATCAAACAATGTCAAAAAAAATTATAACATTTTTGAAATATTCACAAATTAGATTAATATGGATTAAAATAGAAAATAGGAATATTTAAATTAGTTTATGAGCGCATAATAGTATATCTAGCATAAATGTAGGCAGACAAAATAGATAAAATGTTTCATTATTTAACAAAACTGACACTTCTTCTGAACGCCACTTTTCCGCACTAGTGCGGGAATAGAATTTTCCCGCACTAGTGCGGGAAAAACAAAATAGCGCACTAGTGCGGGAAAGTGACATTTTCGGAACTAAGATGCGTGCGGGAAAGTAATAAAAAATGCACGCTCGTAGAAAAAAAAAAATTGAAACATTAGGTATAGAAAGAGAACTATCAAGTATATGGGGAAGTAAAAACTGGTGGACAATGGAAATACGGAAACACACGGAAACGTGTTGGAAAATTAACCATTTGGTACGCATTAGTTTCAAGGTAGTTATCCAGAAAAAATTGATTTTGTTTGTCTGGGTTGGACAAATTAAGATTCTTCCAATCTATATGCTGATCTCGATGATGATAGTTGAAATCCCCCATAATATAAACGGACATATCCAATGAACAGGCATGTTTAATTGAGTTAGTCATGATATTATCATTTTTCTCACTGAAATAATCCGTTCTGTATATACAGGAGACCAAACATTTGATGTTAAAGACCTTTATATCAATCCACAATGACTGTATTGGGCCGAATGTATTAAATTATTGTTTACTGTAGAGTATACTTTGTGTCCATTTAAAACACGTTCGCTGCCGGTCAATATTAGGGATCCTACGCTAGAGGCCGACAAAAAAAAATATATATTTTGCCGGCTAGAATAATGAACTTCCGCGCATGATCCAAAACCAACCAAGTAAATAATTTTTTTAAAGTGTTCAGATAATGCCGACAAATAATCAAAACCTCATTCACAATGCCGTATTCACAATAGCAAATATACGATGTATTGGTACATCACGCTCTAGCGCGAGACCGGCACCCAGCAAAAGTTGGATTTCACGCGCTAGTGCGTGATCGGCAGCGAACGTGTTAACTCATCCTTAACCAAAACACACACTCCACCTCCGGTTTTCTCTGTCTTGGCGGAATACACTATACCCATCTATCCTAATAAGATCATCCAACGATGTTCTTATTGAGCCAAGTCTCTGTTACGAAGATACACGCAGGATTATGTTTTTGTATTGATATTGATCATTTATTTTGTTGGTGATAGATTGCAACGAGGATTGCAAGTTACCCTGCTTGTTACTTGTTAGTTTTTTAGATCTGGCCTGATCCCTATAATTTTTGGAATAGAGTTATAAAATTTAATTTAAAGGTTGGACTCACCATTTTCCTTTCGAGCTTTTAGTTCGGCTACAACTTCTTTCAAGTACTTCTGTTGAAGTAGAGTTAGATTGCCCTTGATGTAAATTTTTTTGGATTCATCTAGTTTGTTTTTGTTTTCTTGTGAACAAAGACTGTACAAAAAGTCTTGTTTTTCAGTTTAGGCGCCACTACATAGGTACAAACTAAAGTCATCGACTAATCATACGACACAGCATTGATCTTTAAGGGGGCGTCCTGGGAGGAAACCAGGCAGAAAGTCATCAGGGGATTCAACACTTAAAAACTGGCTGGAAAGCTTCAAGCTCTCATTCAACCTACAGAAAACAAACTACATTGCATTTTCCCCAGTAAATAAAAATAGACCAAACTTTGAAAAAACTTTCATAAATAAAAATGAATCTATTGATTCTTGTGAAAAAATGAAATATCTGGGGATTGTGATCGACCAACACCTTAAATGGACACATCATATCAGCCATGTTGTATCAAAGGTCAGAAAACTTATATATAAATTTTACATTTTACGAGAAATCCTTAATGAAAAACCGAGTGAAAAACTATCAATATTGATCTATAAATCACTAGTTGAATCATTGTTACGTTATGGTATTACAGCATGGGGTGCTGCTTACAAAACTACCTCAATACCTTTACAAGTTGTTCAAAATTATGTATTGAAAGTTACCTTCAACAAAAATAAACTCTACCCCACAAAACAATTATATAACGAAAATATTTTTAATATTCAGCAACTGTATATTTTGTCAACTTGCGTTTACATGTACAAAAATAATAAATCAAAATTACTCATAGCTCATAAACATATTACACGTAATAAAACGAATAAAATCGTAACTATTCTAAAGAGCCAAAAGACATTGAGTCTTAAGTTTCTACAAAACTGTACTTCAAAATTCTACAACTTATTGCCATTGAAAATTGAGGATATACCTCGGGATATACCTAGTCTTAAAGAATTCAAAAAAAGTTGTAAAGAATATATATTTAAGACTTACAAAAGTTTTCAAAATCAGTGTATTTAGGGATAACTATAAGATGTTTCACCTACAGTCTACAGAATCTTTGAACTGTTTAAACCTGCCCTTATCTCTTAATGGATTAGGGTACTGCTAGGCCAGAATTTTATACATGATACCCCTCATTCATTATCATTATCAACTACTTATACCATTAAACGTGGCACATGCAGGCATTCTCATGCCTAGGTGCCACAATAAAAAATTATTAGATTATAAAAATATTACTGTTGTTATGTATACTGAAAATATTGAATAAATTATTATTATTATTATTAATCAAGCAAACTGAGGAATCTCACTGAAATTTCACAGGATCCTACTGGATGTACACTATAATTCCAAGGTGGTTTGCCCCTCGGTTTAATCCTAATAATGACATAAATAAATTCGAAATATGTATTATTTGATCATTTCAGGGAGGCTACATGGCAGCTAAAAGAGCCAAACTTCTCGACCAATTTCACAGCGACAACATAGTAAAACTGTCTGATATTTTCTCTGGGGTTCGTATTTTGGTGAACGGCCTTACTCATCCGACAGCAGCGGAACTAAAGAATCTTATGGCAACTCATGGAGGAGAGTTTCATATGTATCAAACCTCGAACACTACCCATATTATAGCTTCTAACTTACCAAATGTTAAGGTAAGGAAAAAAATAACGCAAGAAATCATATTTGTGAGCAAGCAAAATCCCGAGCAAAATCCTAAATCTCTGTTTAGAATTACTTAACTTAGTTTCCTGATTAATTTAGTTTGTATTTCTAATCAGTTTTTATTGTATTTCTAACTTATGAGGCTTGCCAAGGATCCTTTCGTCAACTAGAAGTGAATTATTATCTTTTCTGAGTGCCTTCTCTATTTTTCAGTAGCCAAAATTGCACAGATTGTCTCTGAAATGCAGCATTTTTATTATGCCTCCAGATAAAACATTTGGGAGCAGTTCCAGTAGTAAAACCAGCCTGGATAACAGAAAGCATTGCCCTAAACAAACTCCTAGATTATTCAAGATATCTACTCTACACTAATCAATCACGACTTCAGCCAGCCCTTAATTTTCCTGTAATATCAAATCAGAAATTTGAAACAGCCTCTGAGTTTCTTGAAAAAACAAAAACCTCAACCGAAACAACTTTCAGCACAGCTACTAAAACAGCCTCGGATCCGAAATTCCTTGAAGAATTTTACAGTAACTCACGCTTGCATCTTATAGCAACTCTAGGGGCTGAATTTAAACTACTAGTCGGCCAGTTAAGAGACAAGTCTGATGGCAAGTTTCCTGGCAGAGAAAAGCTTATTGTGGAAAAAGGTAAGATTTCTTTCGTTATTATTGAATTTAGCGAATTATGTAAGCCTGAAATCATACATGATGCTCATTGGCAGAATATTTCGACGCTATTAATTATTCATTTTGATGATAAATAAATAATATACTACGGAAATTATATTTCATTCACCCCACATTGCTTAACGCGATTTTATTTCTGGAACTAGAAGTCCAAATGAGTTGAAATTTTCACCTCTTATCCTCCAAGTTGCTGAAAATTTCAGCTTTCTATCTATAACAGAAAACTTGCAGCATTCACCTTCACAGATAAGATAATCTAGTCAGTAAAAAAGTATTTCTACAATTTTTATCGTAGTAGCACACGTTGGGTATCCATAAAAGTAAAACACTTGATAAAACAATTATTTATAAATATTAATATTAATACACTGTTACAACATTGGAGGAATGATAGTTAAAGTTTGATTGATTGCCATTGCAATGTACTGTACATTATCCAAATTTAGACCGCTAACATTCATTCTTCCATCATCCAGTAAGTAAATGTGATGTTGCTTTTTCAAATGTTGCACTTGAATTTGACGAAGACCTGTATAGGAAAACATTCCGACTTGTCTCGTAAGATGGTTCCACGTTCCAGGTGCACGAAGTCTTTGTAATTCCTCCCTCAAATACAATCGCATTTTTCTTAATCTATCAGCTATTGCCGATATAGTCTTGGTCCATTCTTCCGATAGCATTCTGTCACCTAGAATGAATGCTACGATTCTGGCACCGTGACTAGGAGGCGTCGAATACAAACGGGTTATGATATCTCGTAAATGGGATTTTACTGGATTGATTTGGTTTGTGTCATTTAGGACTATGGTAAGACTTCCGCAGCGGTCATTGAATAAACCAAAATTCCAAGCGAAAGTTTGGACACAAAGAAACTCCAAACCTTGCCGTTCGAACAATCTAACTGGTTCCGCGTCTTCATTCAAATTGCCCGTAGCGAAACCTTGAAAACCCGAATAAAAAAAAGGAAATAATTCATTGGTTTTCATTATGTTAGCTATTTTTTCCCAAAGTTCGTGGCTTGGATCGATTCCTGTAGGATCATGTCCGCTCACTTGTAAAAATATCACAGAACGTGATGGTGCTCTGGCCAAATCTTCTAACAATCCTCGTTCGTCCAAGGATAACGTGTAGTTGTTAAAGTAACGCAACGTTTTATATTTTTGAAAGCCAGCTTCCAAAAATGTCTTATCCACTTGGTCGACATTCTGTTCTGTGCCGTACACGGTGGTCATCTTGAGACATTTTACTAAAAATTCAGCTCCCGTTCTAATAGTACCTGTTAATCCTATTGTTTGGATAGTGAATGCTTGGTTTTTGACTCTAGCTGAACTGTTTTCACCTTTAAAAAGAGAATTTGGTGTTTGATTATCTAATTCCAAAGGCAAAGAACAGAAAGTTAATTCTTCAGATATGTTTTTCTTGATTCAGATGAAAAAACATATTCAGGGATGTAAGTCTTTGTGGCGCTTGAAGACTAAATTATAGCCCTATGAATTAACACACACAAAAAGTTAGCTGCTACTGTTTGCTTTAGAATTTATATCCTTACCCTTTTAACTGGGTTCTTTGTCTACTTACCCAAAAGCAACGTTAAAGCATAACTGTTGAACGTTTTATACCCAAAAGGTTCCAAACGTTTCTTATTTAGAGAACCATCATTTGCCAGTACTGTTTCAGCTTGTCTTACTACCGGAAAGACCCAGGGCTTGCCGTTTTCATCACGGTAACATGGAAATGCTTTTGTTAAAATAAGTAAAATTATTATGGATAAATTAAATGCAAACCAAAATCAAGTTTATGCTCATAATCGTCCGCTTTAAATTGTCTGTTTAATGAGTAGATTTTCTCTGGGGGTAGTAGTTGGAGGTCCTTGAACCAGGAGGGCGATTGTAATTTGACTTTAGCATTTTCTGAGTCCTGGGCACAGATGTCCTGGGTTTGCGAGTCTGACATTTTGTTGAAATTATATGACACACAGCATGAAAATAGACTGGTGCGTTTTTAGGAAAATTGCCTTCCACTGTTCCACAATCAATCATAATGCACATAGATATGGATTGTTTCTTTGTATCTGTTGGTCTTCGAAAACATCCAGAATTAAAGGGAAAACCTGTAGCGATTACTCATGCGCGTAGTGGTGTTATAAATTCAAATGATCCTTCCAAACAAGCTGCCAGAGATCAAGAATTTGCTTTGTACCAGGAACGCTTGCCAGAAGGTAGAAATAATTTTTATTTCAATGCCTTTTTCAATAATTTACATTAATTCAGGAAAGACGTCTAGAGTTGTGGATATCACTCAGAAAATTGACGGTTTGGCATCCATGTCCGAAATAGCCAGCTGCAGTTACGAAGCTAGAAAGTACGGATTGAAAAATGGTATGTTTTTGGGACAAGCTATTAAGTTGTGTCCCGAATTGAAAACTTTGCCATACGATTTTGAGGTGAGAACAAAAACTTGAGTATAAGATCTGATAACTGTAAGTATTCAAGGGCTACAAAGAGGTTTCCAACACCCTCTACAACACAGTGGCCTCTTACACTTTGGATATCGAAGCTGTCAGCTGCGACGAAATGTATGTAGACGTGAAGCAAATTTTACTAGACACTGGCCTATCTGTTGACGAATGGGCCACACATATAAGGAATGAGATTATGGAGGTTACAGGATGTCCTTGTTCAACTGGTAGGTGAAACATGTCATTTATAGAAACAGACAAAGAGCTGATAACAATGTGTATGTTATAAAAGAGCATTTGTAGCTGCTTCACTTTTTTCGCTCTCTCTTGTACAGTTATGTTTTTAGGTTTTGGGTCTAACAGACTCCAAGCTAGGCTAGCTACAAGAAAAGCCAAACCAGGTGGTCAGTATTACTTAGAACCTCAAAACGTAGAAAGCTACATGTCCGAAATCCCATTGGCCGATTTACCAGGAGTTGGTAGCGCTACTTTGGCAAAATTACGGAATTTGGCTTACAATATGTGTGGGGAATTACAGAGTGGCTCTTTGAAAAGTTTACAGTTGGAATTGGGTAATAAATTGGGAGAAAGGATTTGGGATCAGGCTCATGGTAACGATAATAAGCCTTTGGATTATCATCATGAAAGGAAGTCAATTTCGGCTGAGATAAATTATGGTAATTTGCAATTTTTTGTATAGATCTATATACAATATCATTATATTGTTTCAGGTATAAGATTCAAAACTAAAGAAGAATGTTACAATTTCATACAAAGCCTCTCAAACGAAGTTTCCAATAGATTATCAGACATTAATATGAAAGCTAGAGGGCTCACATTGAAATTATTAGTTCGAGCTGAAGGGGCGCCAGTGGAAACAGCCAAATTCCTCGGCCACGGGGTTTGCGACGTCATAAACAAAAGCAGCCCCAATAATATTTTCTTTTCAAACGCCGACATTATTTACAGGGAGGCTAAAGCCGTTTATGATAAATTGAATGTTCCGTTTGCCGAGTTGAGAGGTGTAGGCATACATTTGAGCAAATTAGAGAAGAATGCCCCGATAAATAATCCTTTGAGTGATTTTTTGAAACAAGGAGTAGTCAAGAAAGTAAAACCTAATTTGGATGTAGAAGAATCGCCTATTAAAAGTCTAGAAAGTTCTACAAGTAAGGTTGGAGCTTCTAGTGGTACTAAATCTAGTAGTGTTAAAAGCATGAATGTCAAATCTAGAGGGAAGGCTACTCGAGGGAAAAGAGGCAAAGGGCCAGGAACAAGCAGGATAATGCATACATTTTTAGAACGGTCTAAAAGTGATAATGGTGGTCAAGGTGAAGAGGCAACAGTAAGTATTTTCATTAGCTCTTCTTGAATTTCACAAAGAATATAAATATTTTTTTTATTTAGCTTTTCAAACTTAGAAGCCAAATAGATATGGATGTCTTGAAGGAACTTCCTGAGGATATACGTCGAGAAGTTATGAAAGAGTACAGGTTCGATATAAATCCGCCAGTCGATTTGGAAAAGTCACAAAAGCCTGATGTGGCTAAGCCAAAAAATATGGGTAAGCAAAATCTAATTATACTTTCAAAGGCATTTCCCATATTATTAATAGGTGTATGACTTACTTTGGAAAAGCCACTTACTTTATTGATCAACTACTTTTACTTAAATACAATCTAAATTCTAAAATACTCCTTTTCAATTATCGTAACTCAGAAAATCAGAGGGTGATTTCAGACATGTTTTTCAGACCATGAACCTGTAATTTCAAAAAACTTAAACCTATTCTGGTGGTAAAGTAATAAACGGGGATAGCAATCCCCTCTACACAAGAAATTTTTACCAATTATATTTTCTGAAATACATATTCCGAGTCTGAAATGAATTACAAATTCCCATTCCCATTCCCATGAACATGATGTTTCGACACTCATGGTCTGTAAAAACATTGCGGGTACAACATAGGCTGTAACCCATCAATCCTACCATGAATGCATACTATGATAGTGAGACCTATCATCACCTACGGAGCGATAGCCTGGTATAGCCGAGCCGAATCCAGCTAGGAAAACCCTAGGAAAAGTGGAAAGACTTGCGTGTCTCTGTATAACAGGAGCAATGAGATCATGCCCAATCGCGGCACTGGAATTCATCATAGTCAATTCAATTCAATTAAGCTACTGAAAGCACTGTAATACATTTACTTAGCTGGCCTGGTGTACCTACTATTGACACACTAGGGTTCCCTAGTCTAAATTATTTTACTTTTATATGTTGCTAAATAGGGCCATTACGAATTCTACACCAAATATATGCATATACGCGGTACTTCCTGATCACTGGTGAGTGCGTTTATGAACATGATTACAATAACGAGTGTGAAAGATTAGAACGACGAGGTCGTAGACCGCGTCGTTCTAATCACACGAGTTGTGTAGTCATGTTTAAACGCATGTGTGATGTACAATGTTTTATCTACAAAGCGAAAAATTAGAATGTTTTTTCGATTATTTTTGTTTATTAGTAGTTGTTTACCTTCATTTTACCTTAACAGGTTTACCTTTGACATTTGTCAAATCACCAAAAATAGTTGTGTTATAGATTCATAACCTAGTCCATAACACCACTAGTTGTGTTATGCATTCATAACCTAGTCTATAACACCACTAGTTATGTTATGAGTATCATAACATAACTCAAATACTAGAAAAAGGGTTATGTAAAAACGTCATAACCAAACGCTTGTAGATAAAGTAGTTTTAAGGGTCTTTTAGTGACCTTTCACCTACATTGAATTAAGGTACTTATATTATTATATAATTGATTTTTTTTGGGTACCATACCGTACTTATTGTTGACAATTTATTTGTAAACTGTAAATTTTACTTATTTAATTAAAACTGCTACGATATATTATTTTGATGAGTTTTCTTTATTGGTATTTTCTTATTTCTTATCTGGCGCTATGCTTAGAATGTGTCGAGTCCATGTCGTATCCAGGAGATTCGGAAATATGATGCATGGGGTCCAATATCTAATGGCCAATTTGTTGGACGTTACCGCAAGGTCTTAGGCCAGAAATCTTGCCTAACGTCGAATTTAATGGACAATTTTTCTCCAAAAATCTTATTCGATTATGTCCTAGCCCATGCAAAAAATGATGAACGTCCATACCTTCAAGTTGAAATATATGGAAAGTCTTTCCTTGGACTGCTTCCAGAACTATCCTTGGAGCAAAAGGCTGGAAAACACTGAATCTCTTTGTCAGTTAAAGCCAACTATTTTCTATTGCACTGTGGCAAAATGCCAGACGTGTCAGGTCATTGGCTAAGTCTTATTGCCTCTCCGTCTGCAAGAACGTATGATTCTTATTGACGTATTGATAGTCCCATCTCTTCCTCATCCATTTATTCTTGGAATTGATTTCTGGACCAGTAGCGAAGAAGAGAAGTTTTGGTTCTAATAATAGCATGAACAATCGCGATGCGGAGGTTGCTTCCATCCAAAGCAGAGGAAATTTAACCTTTGAACAGGAACGTAGCTTACATGCCCTAATTGACGCGACTTTCACGAAAATGAGTGACGAACTGGGATGTACCACGTTTGTGAAATTGATCATAAAGACTGATTCACCCCCGATAAAACAGCGTTACTATCCACTGTCCCGAGTATTGCAGAGGGAAGTAAATGCTGAGTTGGATAAAATGATTGCCGATGGTATTCTAGAGCCTTCCGAGTCTCCATGGGCTTTCCCAATTGTCATGATCAAAAAGAAATCTGGTGGTTGGAGATTTTGCGTGGATTTCAGGGCTCTTGATTGAGTTACAGTTTCGGATTCCTATCCTCTTCCGTGGGTTTCTAATACTTTGGACAAGTTACGTGACGCACGATATCTCAGTACGCTAGATATTAAGACAGCATACTGGCAAAGTCCTATCGCAGATTCATCGAAACCCCTTACCGCCTTCACCGTATCGTCTCGTGGATTCTTCCAGTTTAGGCGAATGCCTTTTGGTCTCATCAATGCCCCTGCTCTCTGGCAAAGGCTTATTGACCGTGTTATTGGTATCGAGTTTGATAATTACGTCTTTGTTTACTTGGATTATCTGCACTCCCTCTCCCAAGAATATCAGCGAGGTGAGGCGTATCATTGGTCTTGCATCTTGGTACAGAAGATTTGTGCCAAATTTTTCTTCCGTTATTTCCCCTATCACCTCTTTAACTAGGAAGAACGTTAAGTTTTTATGGGACCAAAATTGTGACAATGCTTTCAAAACCATGAAGGAATATCTTGTAAATGCACCTGTACTGTCCTGTCTTGATTTTGACAAGCCGTTTACAATACAGTGCGACGCTTCGATTTCGGACTTGGAGCTGTTTTGCGCAGATGCAAGATGACGAAGAGCACGTCATATGTTACCTCAGTCGATCTCTAAATCAAAATGAACGGAAGTACACGACAACCGAAAAGGAGTGTTTAGCAGTGTTATTTGTGATTGAGAAATTACGACCTTACATTGTCATTGAGGGTACCAAATTCTCTATAATCACTGACCACTTTAGCTTGAAGTGGCTTAATTCAATTAAAGACCCGGTTAGGCGTATCGCTCGTTGGGCTGTAAGACTCCAGCAATACGATTTTGAGGTGGTTCATCGGAAAGGAAAAGGAAACGTTTTTCCTGATACTTTGTCCAGTGTGTCTGATGATTCCGAAGAATCTTCAAACACTTCGGATAAGTGGCTTAAGAGGATGTACAGTAATGTCACTTAATATCCTTCTGGATACAATCTTTGGTAGATTGATAAAAACAAGCTCTTTAAGCTAGCTAAGGAAAAATACCCATCCTTGTCAACTCCAAGTGATTGTTGGTTACAGGTTGTTCCGAGAGATCAGCGTTCAAATATTGTCAAATCTTATCATGATCGTCCAACTTGTGGACATTTGGGTGTCTTCAAAACTTTAGGCCGAATTGTTCAGAAATATTACTGGCCTCAAATGAGAAATGATGTACAGAAATATATTCGGCGCTGTCGAATTTGTCTGGAAACTAAACCCGAGCAGAAAGCTGGATTTGGACAAATGCGTAGCTTAATCTACAGCTTCCAAACCATGGGAAATCATTAGTATATGTTGTTGGCGCCCTTCCACCTTCTAGTCCAGGTTATTCCTATGTTTTTACGGTGTCGGATGTGTTTAGTCAATTTTGTTTATTCTTTCCTCTTCGCGCAGCAACATCAAGTGGTATCTTGAAGTGATTAGAGGATCATGTTCTTTTGGTCTTTAGTATACCTAAAAAAATTATTTTAGATTACGGGTCCCAATTTTGTAATAAGGTTTTTCAGAATGTTATTAAGGATTATGGCATAGAGATCCAGTACACAGCCAACTATCATCCCCAGGCTAATCCTGTGGAGAGAGTTCATAGAGTGCTTAAAACTATCCTCAGCCCTCAGTTATTTGGAAAATGATCTGGGATAAATTTCTGGCGAAAACTGGGTGCGCCATCCGGTCAGCAACTCGTCAAGTCACTAACTTGACTCTCAATTTTGTTGTGTTTGGACGTGGACACGATGAATCCGAGTTGCCGGCTCAGGAATATTTCGAAGGGTAAATTGACTCACATGAAAGATTCCGCCATGTGTGTAAGGTATTTTCTGATATCAGGAAGAAGTTGATTCGTGCATATGGAAAATCAAGTCAATACTTACAATCTTAGAAGGCGTAATAGTCGATTCCTTCTCCGTCAAAAGATCTGTGGTACTCCTCGATTTCGGAGTCGTCTTTGTTAGGTATTCTTACAAATTGCCTTTTTCCCGATAGATATGATTTAAACCAGTTCAGCTCCTTTCTCCGGACGCCATATTTCGTGACTCACGCAATCAAATGCCTTTGAGAAATCACAAAACACAGCCGCAGCCCTCTCGCCATCATTTAAGCTAAAGAAAAGCTTTTCGAGTAGAGAAAATACTGCTTCGTTTGTGCCCTTGCTTTGTTCTATACCCAAGAAAATACTGGTTAAACCATGCGGAGCTCCTAAATTTTCTAGGTTTATGCAGTGACCTTAGATTTCTACATGATATCCTTATTCCTTTTGTTATCCACAATTTTCTGGTTTTTTGTTTTATCGTACGCAAGGGAAAGCTCTGAATAGAGATTCTTTGCACAGATTTTTGAAATGTTTCCAACGGGCTTGTGGCGTTTTGTATATTTTCCCAGTCTAAACCAGATGCAGCATTTCGAAATAAATTAAAATTTGACACGCTGAGGATTCGATTCTTCTTGCTTTGTCTCCCCTTTGGTTGATCATTATTGCTTAGGTTGAACTTCATGATCGGAGATACCTGAACACGTAGGATTATTTTCCTCAATGTTACTGCAAATATAATCGATTAATGTCGCAGAGTGTAAAGTAATTCGTGTAGGTTCTTTAACAAAAACCATGGGATTGAAACACGCTAGCAGGTTAGATAGTGATCTTGTATCCACCGAATCCTAATTATTAAAGTCTATATTCAAGTCCCTTGCTAAAAGTATATTGGCTGTAATTGGGAGTTGGGATAATATCATTTCCAGTGACTCTAAGTCTAAGTAAAAGTTTACCAGACGTCCTGAAGTAGGTCTGTATAAACACACACATCCTAGACCTCACATTAGTTCACATGATAGTAAACCGGGTTGCCAGTGGTTCATTTCTCAGACTGGCGAAGGTAGGTTTACAAGAATTACGTTGTGGAACCACAAAAACGACTTTTTAAAAAACAAACTTTATTTTCTAAAAACAAACTTTTGTTTTCCGGACCGAACATACACGTACGGTTATACAGATGAAACTGGCTTGAAGAGAACAATCAGATTATTTTATAAACTAATTAAGCAAAAGCAGCAGATTAATATAATAAACTAAGCAATTCTGAGCACGTAACTCAAGCGAAAACGCATTTTGGCAGAATTTTTCCTCTCCCAAAATGTGCACATCTCATGGATCTACAAAAAAACGTAATTGTTGATAAATTCAGTTCGAGAAAATCTTTTCCATCGAACTAAGTACAAAAAACAGATGGAACACAAAATTTATCCAATCCCTTAAAGCAAACACCATCAAATGGTACACAAACCGTTCCAAAACTGCTTGGAGAACTGCAGTCGGAGTATTCGGGTCACGGAATACTCGGAGCCAATGGGAAAATACCCAAGCATATTTCAAGCGGAATTTCATGCGATTAGAAAAGGCGTGCAGTTCAACCTGAACAAAAGTTATGGAAAACGAGAGATTGTAATATTGTCTGACAGCCAAGCAGCTATTAGCGCATTGAGCTCCCCGGACATCAATTTTAAGATAGTACGGAAACGTCCACAGAAACTTAAGGAGCTGGGAAAAAAAAACAAAGTAACCCTCCTTTGGGTGCCGCTGGAACTCTGTAACGGTTACATAGGGGTCAAGTCAACAAATGCGCAGACAGACTCCCAAGAGCAAGAGCCTCTACTCCCTTCACTGGGCCAAAACCATTTTGCGGCATCGGAAATGCGCACGCACCTCCAAGAAATCCTCAAAAAGGAAAGGAATCGGCTAAGGACACAACAATGGCACAACAGCCAAGACTTCAAAGATCTTCAAGCAAAAAAGATCAGAACTACTAGTCAACCTTAACAAGAAAAGTCTCAAGACTCTAACCGGGTTTCTCTCGGGCTATTGCAGACTTAGATAAGAAACACCTACAGCAATTGGGGTTGGAAGAAGGTGGCACCTGCAGATTTTGTGAAGAGACACCTCACCATCTTCTACTGAACTGCAATGCCGTTAGTCACTCAATAATGAACCTGGGAAGTCACCTTATACAGTTGGAAGACATTCCAGCCCTGGAACCGCTAGATATCCTAAACGACTAGGACTAGAGGGGCTGCATTCAGCAGGAAACCCGAACTCATCAGCAGAACGAGGGGTACAATAGATTAACTTTGGTCTCAATGCAACTGACACCTCCAACACATAAGCATACATACATGAATATTATGTTCCTCTTCTGAATTTTAAATTTTGTATCCTGATTCTGAATTACAATTGAAAAAGGAGTAGACTCGAATTCTTTACAAGAACGGAATTTTGTGCCATATATCGTAATTAATATGTAAATCTGGACCTGATCATATGAATCTACCAAGCCTAAATTATACAATTTATTTTAGGAAATTTATCTGAAACTAGTCAAAGGACCAAATACTCGCCTTTTGCCAATCAAACCTGGGAACAAATAAAAGAAGGCATCAAAATTTGGATAAAATCCGAAACAGATCCGTCAAATGTGGACGTGGAAATGCTCGCAGATCATTTGAGGCAATTAGCTTTGGATAGGCGCATTGAAATATTGCAGAGTTGTTTCAATTTTCTTCATAGGTAAGGCTTCCAATTATATTTTTCTATTAAACAACTCAAAAGCTATAAAATGTGGTTAGTAGTAGGTATATACAGGCCCTGAGAGTACATAAAAGTCTTGATTTCTTAGGAGAAATTACCAAAAATATATTTTTTTCAGAAATTTCTCAAAATTGAGCTGCTCTTGGCATCAAGCTTACTTTTCATTGGTTGACGCTGTGCAACAAGGTATGGTGGCAAGATATGGAAAAGTCTTACACCTGGAACGAGAATTCTTTTGTTGCCATATCCATTAGTAGGTTGTTGAAAGGCACTTAATTACTGATAATAAAGAATAATATTTTTTTTTGTGATACATTTAAATGAAACGTGATACATTTATATGAAACGTTAGAATTACATGTTTAATTTTTTAATAAAGAGTTTTCAAATTTGTCCAATTTTCATTGTTCAAAATTCAATTCCACCACCATTACAGACATAGTGTTTTATTAGTAATACATTTACAAAAAGAAAATGGCACAAAATTAATTTTGTATATCACACCCTAATATTACTTTTTCTGATCTTTCTTATCAGAATCAACCTTCTTTTTTTTCTGTGCTTTATCTAAAGAAAAAACCCTTTGATCGTGCATGTAGTTGTTCAAATCATAATATGTCCACGAGTGGGTCCTGTGATACAGATTATCGCGCTGTTGCTTTTCCAATTTGGGACTCGCAGCTTCAAAAGCCTTGGGGACTACTTTTGATATGTTGTAGGCTTCTATTTTTTCCATGAGTTCATTATTGATTTTGTCACTAGCACAAGAACTATCCATTTTGTTTTCGTCAGTTTTGTCACAGCATTCATCTTAAATTAGATTCACTTTAATAATTTTAGAATTATTCAATTCATATTTACCTGTTTCATTGTTATTTGTTGAATAACGTCTTACTCCTTTAGGATTATCATTATCGGGATCGTTGCCTGGTTTTTTTGGAGGAGTTTTATTGCTTTTTATAATTTTGGAATAAAAGTTTGCCTTGCCAATAGAATTCATAGTTTTGCTAGTGTTTTTATCAATTTCATTGACATCCTTCACTTTTGACGTTTCAAGTATATCATTTGAGTGCTGTTCGTTACAACGTTTTTGGAATTCTTCGTTGAGCCTTCTTAATAATTCAAATCTAAAAATTTCATTCTCTCACTGCCTTCAAGTATATTTTTTTGAAAACATTAATTACCTGAAATTGATGATTCGATTTTTCGCTTCCTCACTCAGCTTTACTTCTTCCATGTCTTGAGCAGTGGTGTCCGGAAGAAATTTTTCTTGTTTCTTGGGACGCTTTTTAACGGTCATATAACTTATGCGTAAATGTTTATATTTATTGGGATTGAAATGCTTCATCTGTTCCCAAAACGCATCTTCTGCTATTTTTTTCTTCTTTTCCATGTCCAAAATTTCCTTTGGCACAACTTTGATTTTGTCACCAACAGGTTTTTCCAAAGTTGACTCGTAAGATTCGAAGAATTCCTTGTTGGCTTCTTTAATGTTTCTCAATGGCAAGACAATTTTTATACCATATTTTTTAGTTGGATTTTGGGCCTTTTTTATCAGTGGGGTTTTGGTTTTCGGAGTCCTTTTTGGTGGTTTGCACAGGTTCCGCTTTAAAATAAAAGTTTCTTCTTTATCTAAGACCATTGATTGAGACGACATGTTATTCTATAAACCATTACTTTTTGTTTTAATTACCTACCTTTTTTATCTTTCTCAGACTTCTTCGAACTTTTACCATCCTTTTTGGCCATATTTATTGTTACCGCGGTATTGGCCTTCTTTGGTTTTATTAGGTTCCCTAGACTAGGTGATTTTTGTTCTTGTGTCACATTTTTGGGTTTATTTTCAATTTCTTTTTTCGTAGTAGGATTTTTTTGTGCTGGTTTGGAATCAATTTTTTGTAGTAAATCGATTGTCGCGCTTTCATGAAGTTTGTGGGATCGATTTGAAGTAGTTTCAGAAGCCTAAAATTAAGATTAGGTTTTAATTCAATATAAAAAAAACTATCTCAGAATTGGTAAAGACATACAGCATACCTATTATATTATGTATACAAGTTTACAAATAAGAAAGCTTAGCTAATGTATTCCTTATTATTGAAATTGAAATTTTCTCACAGAATTGTGGTTTAATGTTGCTGTGACGGACTATGCCAAGTCACTGCAAATACTATTATTATTAAATTGAATTGAAGAATGATCTGACAATATGGCATGTTTTTAAGATGACTGACTTCTGAAAGTTTTTGTGTATGTTAGTGTTGAGTCCTAGCTGTTTCAAGTGTGATTTGAATGTTGTGTAAGGCCTGTTACTGACATAATCAGGGGGATAATAGTAACTTTTTCCTGCTTCCAGAGTTTCTTCATTTCGATTGCTAGGTCTGTGTATTTACAATTTTTTTCATTGTACTTTGTCTGGATGTTTTTATCACTGGGAATAGCTATGTAAATTAGGTATGTGATTTTTTCTCTTTTTAACTGAAATGTGATATCAGGTCTATTGGGATATTGTTTTATCTGTCTGAATATTGATATCCCAGTATAGTTTGAAATCCTTGCTTTCGAGTATAGACGTAAGACGATGGTGTGTATTTGTAGTATGGCTCTGTGTTTTGTATTAGTTTGAATGCTGTGGCCAGTGTTTGGTGGATTACTTTTATTGTTGCGTTATGTCTTGCTGTGTATTCTAAGCCAGCTAGGGACTTGCAACCACTTGTAATATGCTCAATTGTTTCCTTTTGGAGGTGGCATTTCCTGCATCATCTGCTGTAGCCGGGTCTTTGATAATATATTTCTAAATTTTTGATAATTTCTGGTTACTATGACCTTATCTTGGATCGCGAGCAGGAATCCTTCCGTTTCGGGAAAGAGCTGACCATCCTCTCACCAGGTGTATGATGATTTTTGATCAATATAATCTTGTTTCATGTGGTATCTGTACTGTCCATGCAGAATCTTTTCTGACCAGGTGTTCATTTTCCCCTGTTGCAATTGCGTGTCGTTGTATATGTCTATTGGATGTGTTGTTTGGGATAGGTTGAGGGGTGTATAGTTTTTATCTGCTATGCTTATCGCTGTGTGGAGCCCAGTCTGTCTAGCATGGAAGAATTTCCTGTGTGTTTGTATTTGCCTTGCGTGTAGTGATGTTACGTCTACAATTCCTCTTCCTCCTTCATTCCTTTTGATTGTTAGCCTTTCCTTGCATGAATTGGGGTGTGACTTTCTGTGTTTGGAGTTCAGAGCGCATGAAGATGTTAATGTTTTTCAGGTCAGTTTCGGACCACTTGATGATACCGAATGAGTATGTAAGAGTAGGAATGGCGTACCTATGTGTTTATAGCCTTAGTGAGATTTCTGGAATTTAATTTACTTTTTAATTGCCTGATGAGTCGATTTCTGAATTCATGGGTGCGATTTTCGAAACCATTCGAATACATTTTGTACACGAAATTTGACTGACACAGGGGGGTTTATTTAAAATGTGCAATTCAAATTCGTCTGACTAAGTCGCATTTTTAGCATTGAAATACCGGCAAAAATTGCGACTTAGTCAGACATATTTGAATTGCACATTTCAAATAAACCCCCGGCCCAGCAATGTAAATGGGGAGCATTCGAAATCGTATCAAATTTCGTATGCGGAAATATTCGAAAATAAGACCCCAGAGCTCTATTTTGATGTGAATATGATTGAGTTTGGTACTTTCCTATCCTAGGTATTTATATGTTTCTTTCCTGAGCATGTTGTCTAGTATTTCACTATCGACGATTTGGACATGTTTTCTCAATGTAGGGTCAGAGCCTGACCATTGACTTAGGCGTAGGTATCTCCATTTCTGTTTTAGGTTTTTGTAGAAGAAGTGATTCGGGAATATGTTGTGTGGGTGTGGTTAGGCTTGTAAATTGGTTGACTGAAGACTCTTAGAGTCTCGGAGTTCAGGTTCGCATTGGAAGATGGTTGAATTGGTGCTTCATCTTTCTGTTGACATTGTTCAATATGCTCGGTGTGTTCAGGATATACGTTAGCTAATCCTATGTGATACTGGTCTGTGTTCAGTTTGGCGACTACTGAATCCTTGATATTTTGTAGTTCAGTTCACGTGAGGCGATTATTCTTGGTGATGGTTCTTTTTTGGTCTCTGTTCCGTGACAAGTTGTTGAAGATATGGAAATTCAGCTAGAAAAAGTCTGTGTAATGCATGCGTATAGCCCGATTTTATTGTTTCGAGTTTTGTAGCAGTGTAGTTACTGGCCTTGCTGGTTGCAGGTAGTTCCTGCAAAACATCCTTAGTCGGGTTTGGATCCCTACATGATATTGGAGTGAGGTGCTCAAAGTGTCCCGATGCTGGGTTGCCCGTCAGATGTAAGTATATGTTCTTATCGTGCTTTATGCTTTATTTTACTTATTGTTGTTGGTTCGCTTTTGACTGTAATTATTCTGGTTACTGTTGCTCTAGGTCTGGTGTGTATATGGAAGTTTGTGCTTAGAGTTTCGGAGAGAGCAAGTATTTCAAGGCTAGTGCCATAGACATTTGTTTTGTTCATATTCTCATAGTAAATTTCGATATCTCTCATTCTATCATTTTCAATCAGAGCATGGTCTTGGAGTAAGGACCAGTTTTCTTTTATATATCCCAGTACGATTTCTCTTGGGAAGACTCAGATCCGCTGGGCAAACAATAGGTAGGCTGTGGTGTTAAACAAGTCAATTCTCAATTAATTTGCATGAGACATCATTCTATTTATGGATGAGAATTGACCATAATTAGTAATACTAAATGTATTCACAACTAAGTGATCCAGGAGGATAAGCTATCTATGGGGTACGGAGTCAAAAGCCTTTTTATAGTTTATGTAGCAGGTGTGTTCTTTTTCGGTTTGCTTTAAAATGACCGAGTCTATTATTAATTGCTCTTTACATCCTTGGCATTTTCTGCATCCTTTTTATTCTTCTGTGAGTATGTTATAGGTATTGCGCTGCAGATTTTTCTATTTTTTTATATATGGTAGTGGTAATAATTTTGTATGGTTTAGGTAAGCATGTTATTGGTCTGTAGTTAGCTGAATTCTATGACTGCGTTTTTCGGTTTAATATATGTACCGCCCCGTGTTAGGAATTTTAGGAATGTGTTTGGGTGGCAGATGCTTTTATTTATGTTCTTTTTTTTCTGTCGTTGGACTCTTTATATCTCCGTAATGGCCGTGGAAATAGGCTGTGGAAGTATTAAAAATACAGCATACAACATACAATAGAAATTGTTAAGCATATAAGAGAGTAGTGGAGCAGTTACAAGATAAGGTAAATTACCCCGATATGCATCAGTGGCGGATCCAGGATTTTCTTCAGGGAGGGGCGCAGGCTTAGAATTATCAACAATGATTTCTTGAAAATTTATTTTTACTTTACTTATACGTTGAAGAATGTAGGTCCAGGGTGGTCCAATTTGGAAACTTTTGATATGAAACGTCAATTTCTAAGCCAGATACAAAAAAATGAGCCCCACACTCTGCTGACGCTCAAATTTCATGAAACCTTAAATTGGTGCAAACACTGCAAATCGTCTTTTGATACCCTCAACTGTTTTGCCGCTAGAGGATGTTTCTCGATTTTGAGCAATAAGGTGAAACCTTCCTAACGTTTTCATTTATGAAAATAATTGATTTCTGTATAAACTTTATAGAGGTACTTTTCCAAGCAGAATTCAATAATGTATACTTGGCCAAACATAAAACTGGTACATGCATTTTCCTATGTGTTGTATTGTGTAAATCGACTTTTATTATCACCTCAAAAATTACAAAAAGAGGCAAGTCAGCGTCATCTTTAAATCAAATAAAATGGCGCCGCAAATACCTTCAACAAAGTCAAATGTCAAAAACTGTCTAACCTGAGTTTTTTAGAAGTACCTATATACAAACATTTTATTGTTAAGCTAGACTCACATTAATCAAATTAAAAAAATACCTATTGCCTGTACCAGTTTTATGTTTGGCCAAATTTACTCAATTTTTCATATTTGTCTCATTTTTTTTTTTAATAAAAAACCCTAGAAAAATATTAATAACTCATTGGATGTGACTTTTGTTTCTATAAGAGTCACATTCAAAGCTCTATTTGGAATAAATATCCCTTAAGTTATACCGGTGCAAATGGCTGTGATAGCTCTATTATTGCTGATTTTATAATACATATAAAGATTTAATAGGTCTATCTCTAACAGTTTTCTAGAAAAAAAATAAATAGATGTTTCAATCAAAAGAAATAATGTGTTAGGAGACCTATCTCATTTTCCTTATAAATAGAAATTCCTCTTCTAACACATTGTTTCTTATAACAAAAACAGATACCTATAATATTTTTGCTGCATGGAAAACTGTTAGAGATAAACCTATCGAACTTTATATCATTGAAAGCATCAAAAGCAGAGCTATCCAATCACTTATTAATATATAGGGTGTCCGGTGTCTCATCAAAACGATCGGACTCTGGTTAATATCTCGAATTCGGGAACAAATAGAAAAAAACTGAGAAAGTCACTTGATTCTCTAGCCACAAAACGGTTCAAGATATCATAAAATTTGAGCCTCAGAGTGGGAATTGATTTTTTAGTATCTCGCTCAGAAATTGATGTTTTCTATCAAAAGTGTCCAAATTGGACAATCCTGCACATATCAAAAAACCGAAAATAACAAATGAAAATACCCGTTCCAAATAAAAATATAACACAATTATTATCTGATAAAAACAAAACAATAAATTGAATAATAGTGTAGCTTGGAAAATTTTCCTATAACATTTTACCTATTGGAAAATTTTTCCATTAACTTTTATTGGAAAATTATGTTATAAAATTTTTCTATGATTTTTTTTAAAAATTAGGAGTTTTTGAGGCTCTCAGGGGGAGGCGCGCGCGCGCGCCTCCCCCCCTTTATCCGCCACTGATATGCATAAGGGTCAAAACCAA